CTAAATATTTGTTACAGTCTCATAAAATGCTTTTAAACATAACAAAATGGACCTCAGAGACACTACCTCATATCATTAGAAATTGCCAAATATGCATTTTGAAAGTGATCTTTTCTGAATCTGCTTATTCTAAAACAACAGAGGTGGGTAGTAGGTACAGTAACTTGATTAAATTTATTTCAAAACAATACTTTTGGGTGTGGCTTTGCTGAATTGTACTTTTACAAGAGGAAAAGCATAGTTGCTTGTGGGTAAAATCTCTGGCTTACTTGAACTTTAATTATCTCACATTGGTGAAATTTACCTCTGCATTTAACCCATCCCCTTGGAGAGTTGAGGGCTTCCACCGTTGGGTCCCCCCTTAGAGCAGTGTGGGGTTAAGGATCTTCCTCAGAAAGCCAGAGTGGCAGTCTGTGGGAGTGGGGCTCAAACGCAGAACCCCAGGATTCCAAGCTCTATGCCCTAACCACTAGGTCACCACTTCCAACCGCTAGGCCGGCTTCTCTACACTGCAAAAAACTGAAATCTAAATTAGTATTTTTTTCTTAAAATAAGTGCATTTATTTCTTAAATTGAGGAGGTAAGCGACATGCTTTGCCAACTGAACATGACAATTTACATTTAAAATAAGAAAAATCAACTGCATTATCTTATTTCAAGACCATATTATCCAATTATCTTATTTTATAGTTTATAGTTAAAAACATTAATTCCATTGGCAAATCATCTTTTTTACCTGCTTAAATTAAGGGTAAATATCCTACTTAAGTCAGCTGTATAAATATCCTTAACTTAATAATGTTTGACTTTTTTATATTTCGTTTTTCCATGTTCCCATGATTATTAATTCCCATAATTATTGAAGAAAAATGCACCAAAGAGAAAAACAGGTATAGTTATTTTTTTTAGTGGTGCTTATGATTTAGCACTTAAACTTCTTGGTTTTAATGTCTTAAAAGTTCCTGCTTCTGCTGTGCCATTTTCAAATGAAAAAAAGTAAACACTTTAGTGAATGGTACTGCAAGTCACTAATGATTTTTCGGTACCTTAACCTCAAAGGGCACAGTGGCATGGGCTCAAACCTTTTCAAATACTTTATGGCTCTACTTAAACAAAACAAACAAAAAAAAAAATTTTAAATGCGTTTTTTTATTTAAATAGACTTTCATTTTTATTTAACAATAATTTAACTCACAGGGTTTTTGATTTATGATCATCTGGTTGTGTGACCACCTGTTAAAGAACAGAGGTCTTGGCAGGATGTTTTACTGATTTATTCACAATGCCAAGATGGAAAGAAATCAGACAAAAAAGACAAAATACTGTTTGCTATCATCAATCTAAAGAGGAATCTAAAGCCATTTGCAACCTAATTCAATTATCATTTTATGGTGAGAAAGCTTCATTACAGGTAAAAACATTAATGACTGCTGACAGTCCTCACAGATATGAACATCAAAACAAATATATTAGCATGTGTAATATGGCGTTCAAGGAATGTGATGCTCAGAGAAATAAAAAGGCGTTCCATCTTATATTCCTAAATGAATATGGTAGCCTTATGTAGACATCCAAAAGTAACATCAGCCACTTCTGGACTTTTCTGGGGATTTTTTATTTTTTTTATTTTAGTACCTATGAATCTAGAAGTTTAACCAAAATAACCAGTACCTACTTAGTTCAAAATCAAACTCAGCACATCATCCCAAACACACGATATTAGGCATTAAGCATAGTGGCAGGAGATTTGGATGGTAAATGGAATTTGTTTAGGTTTAGGTCATTATGTCGGTGATCCAGATTAAAAATTTGAGGAAATCGTTCTGATAACACAACCTGTAACGAAAGTGATGAAAAAAAGAATCACTGCTCCAAAGGTCCACAGGACCATCTATCAGTCAGATTCACAATTGTAGCACAAGTAAAAATCTCCTCCAGCTGTATAATCGTTACTGTATGTGTCCAAGACTTGCACACCCAGCGCTGCAGCCACACTACCCTGGAATTTGATTAGTTCTCCTGCTTAAGGAAGTCCCCAAGCTGTCGGCGCTGACAGAACACCATACACAGACACCCAGATTTTAGCACACTCAAGCCATATAACTTTGAAGCAAATAATCAATGATTCCATCTAATGAAGTTGTAATTAATTCATACAAACAGTCAGAACAGTATGGCAAAAAAAAATAATAATAATAATAATAATAATTCTCACATTAAAAGATTTACTTTGTCACTTCAAAAACACCCTTTGTCACATAAGTTTAAAAGATAATCTTGAATTCCGTAAAAATTCAAAAAATATCCACTGGACTTGGTTTCCAAGACTTGAAGACGTTTCGCCACCTCTCCAGGAAGCTTTCTCAGTTCAAATGTCTGGATCCGCAGTGAGTTTGAGTCTTATATAGACAAAGCCTTGAATCGCTTGGAAACATGCACATGGTAACCGATGAATGGGTCGTTTGGTTCCATCGTTAGCCTGTAATATCTGAAACCTGTCTATGGCCCCGTCCACACGAAGACGAACCCTGGCCTAAAAGCACAAATTTTTCACCAAACCAGCCTCTCATCCACACGAAGCCGGCGTTTCGGGGGTCTGTAAACTATCTTTTTTTTTATTCAGCCTTCAGAGTGGGAAGATTTTGAAACGCCGTTTTCGCGTTTCCATCTTTACGCTCTAACTGCATATTTTTTTTTACACGCATGCGTCATAGCGTCGCCTCTAAACACACGCATGCTCGACCAGTATCACAACAACAATGGCGCCGTTGCTGCTAATGCTACTCACCCTGCTGTCGGGCTTACAACAGAATCTTCTTCTTCTGGAATATCTCCAGGAGGAACAGAGCAATATCGACGACATAGTTCAGCACCTGAATTTGACTTAACCACGAAAATGGACCCGCAGGGCAACCATGTATAAATATTAGTGCGCATGCCCAACATTTCGTCGCTTATTTTTGCTTTGGCACCACAGCGCCACTTACAGGCCTGGCATACATTTTGCAGCGTTTTCATGCATTCGTGTGGACGCTCACATTTATTTTACGTGTCCGTCTTTACGGCAAACGTTTTGGAAAATATCAGGGTTTTGTGTTCGTTTTGACTTCGTGTGGACGGGGCCTTAGATTCTGAGGGTCAGTCGTTAAAGGACCGACCCTCAGAATCATAGACAGCTTCCTGGAGAGGTGGCGAAACGTCTTCAAATCTTGGAAACCAAGTCCAGTGGATATTTTTTGAATTTTTACGGAATGACTATGACCTGGATGACTGAGAACCTTCATCAGATAATCTTGAATGTGTCTTCGGGGGAAAGTGAGCATGTGCAGTATCAATGGGAGCAATACAGCATGTTTCTGATTAGAGATAAAACTTTCCCTTGTCTCCCCTGCTTGTTGTGTAAGATCTTTTATCCAACTTAAAAATGCTTTTTGAATCTTAAAGAGAAATGAAATGTTGTTGTAACTAAGTATAGGTTTTCCTTAAAGAATTGTTATAGATGCTTATGGCTGTAGGTAGGAAGGATCCCAACAGCAGTCCGTCTTGCAGCAGATCTGAAGAAACCAATGACACTAGGTGTTATATGATTGTCAGATGAAGAAGGAACTCAGGACTGTTGATAATGTTTTTCATTTTAAGAAGAACCGTTTTAATTATCTAAACGTATTCATTTATTTATATGTTCTAGGTGATTTTAGACAAAGTTGGTGGAAACACCATTTGTCTCAGTTTATACATTTGTTATTGTTCTTGTTTGCTTGATTTAACCATCTCTTTATTCTGTAGTTTGCATTCATATACTATCCCAGGTTTGTTTATGTTCGCATTTTTACAGATTTCAACATCTTGGTTTAAATCAGGTCATAACTTTTGTAGGTTTTGTTTGATTATTTAACTTCTGTGTTTTATTTTGGTGAACTTACCTTACCTGTGCTTCAGGAGGAAGTGTGAACTCATCTCCTGAAAGGTCACGGGAAGGTACCAGAGGAGGGGGCCACATTGCCCAGTCTATCTCACGGTCATGTATTTCCATATTACCAGTTGCCGAAATTGGCTTCCACCAAAGGGTGTCTGTGCACTCCCGTAGAGATAGGGTGAGGAACTCAACCATCGAGGAGAGGCGCTGGTACTTCACATCGAGAGGAGAAACTTCAGGCGCCTTACCTCTTGGGATCCCTTTGGGCGTCTGGGGCCTCTTACATTGCAGCGTCCATAAAATCTGTAATGCTCCCTGCATGAATTTTTATAAAAATATTTATATGCATAAATCAAGCAGAAAACTATGACGATAGCCGTACTGCTCCACTTGTGAAAGCAACATCTGTTGGGCTGTTTTTGGCATCAAGACAATTATTCTTATTGCCACATCAGCAGACAGGACACTGTTAAAAATAAAAATAGAAAAAATTATGACTTAGCTGCTGTACAATTATTTGTTACTTTGCTTTAATTTTTCGGATAAAGCAAATACAGTACATTGAAGCTTGTGGTTCAAAGTTACACTGGTATAAATACGTTTAAAAGCCACTGTATGTTTGAATAAACACACTCTTTGAATTATATGTTGATTGCCTATATCAAAGTATAAAAAAAAACTGTTTCATAAATTATACTAAGGCACAGTTTATTGTAGTGTAAACTAATTTAAAAAACACTTCACATTAGACACTTTTGCTGTCAAGTGATACTTCACTGTATCCAATATGATGATAGTGAAATAGCCTCTAAATAATATAATTTTATCCACTAGTGTTCATTTCGGATGAGGCAGGGCCAATTATGCCAAATGCCAATGGACAGTGCGTTGTATGGCATTCCGGATAGTCAAAATGTGGTTTTGTCTAGTCAAAATGTAATTTAAGATATCTGGAACGTAATTAAGGATGGTCAGACGAAACCGAATTTATGTTAAAACGGCTTGCCATATTGCCAGAGTATGTGCCTTTTCGCTCCCTCATAAAAAAAAAAATGCACCGGAAGTTGCGTCATTGTCACTCAACCAATCAACAGCGAGGTTATTATGCGCAGGGGTTTGCAGGTTAAGCAGTATTACTCCTTTATATGACTTAAACGTGTATTAATTTGTATATATATGTGTATTTTTTATAAGCGTTTTGGAGCAGTTGCTTTCTAACTAAAACGAGGTAAAGTAAGAACACGGAAGTTAAAGCAGCTAGAATTGGCAAACGTTAGCTAGCTGAGTTAGCTTAACAGACATGACGACCCGGTAGCTCACAGAAGCAATTTCTGGGTATAATCAACTAAACAGACTCTAAAACTATTTATGAAGATACATAGTGTAAAAGAAACCAATCGGATTACGAGCCCGATGTTTTCATATGTCACTTTTCTACATTACGCTGTTTGAGTTCAGGCTAGTAAGGTACGGTTAGCTTAGCTTTTATATAAGCGACAACATCCGGCAAACTGGACAAAACATTGGATTTAATGGGCTTTAAATCGGGTTTGGCCGGTTCGCTAACCCCACAGAAGAAGATGAAAAAGAGAAAAGAGCTGAACGCCTTGATCGGACTCGGGGACAGTAAGAGAAAGAAGACGAAAAAGGGCTCAGGTCACCGACTTCTGCGAACCGAACCACCGGGTTCAGAGTCGGAATCCAGCTCTGAGGAGGATGACTTCAACAACCTGAACGGCGTAAATAGCTTTGGAAAGTGAGTGAGCTGCTGTCTTTTTTTATACGTTTGTGAGAATAATTGGATTGCATCTGGGCCTCAACTAAACGATGTAAAATTAGTGCTCAAATTCCAAAACAAAGATTATACATATTCTCTTCTCTAAAAACACTGATGTACTTATGAGACAACACACTGTTCTTTAATAATTGTCAGGAAAAAAAAAAAACAAAAAACTTAAGTATTAGTTTTACTTATTTTAGCTTTAAGTTATGACATTAGACAGATCCCTCAAATGGTTTCCTATTATGTTACTTTAAAGTCACAAACCTCAATTAACTGTATGCATAATGTATGTGATAAAGGGGTAGGAAATTACATAGTTTTTAAAACTTGATGAAATATAAAATCTGACACTCATCTATTCACTCTGCTTTGCCATTGTAGCCAGTTCCGCTGTGAAGCTATAAAGTATTAAATGGAGACCCAATTGTTTTCCTTTCATAAGTACAGCTGCTAAAGCATCTCAAAGACCAAGAAATACTTCGCAGTTCAAATCAATTCAAACTTTATTTATAAAGCGCTTTTAATCGATTTAATGGAAAGTGCTGTCCTCATTTAAAAGCATGATTGATATCCAACATAGAATATACATAATTATTAAAACTTTGAGTGATGAAGCTGTGGAGAAGTTTGAAGGTTTGGTCATAAAACGGTATCTAAAATGTAAATGTCTCACAGAGCACTGTTTAAACATGTATCCTAAAATGGATGCTTATTTTTCTTCTCTTATAAGTGCTTTTAATGCCTCAACAGAATTTTAATCATGTCTGAATATAAAGGGTACTTGATTCTTGAATTATGCCCTTTCAGGTTGAAGAGAACATAGTTTCACTGTACCATTTGTATAATGTCAATAAAAAATGCAATCATTCAAATATACAAGGAGAGCACATCTTGCCAAATGCCTTTTTTATTGTTAAGTTTAAGTTGTTGAGAAATTGGATGGAGCGAAATACAGGAATTCCTGTAAGGAAACCTGATAGAGGCAGCACAACACTAGGTAAAGGTTAACCTTCAGGTTATGGGTGTGTTGACAAAATAGGAATTTGGTCAGTATGAATACTCTTGCAAGCACAGACTTTAGCAACTCATTCTTTAAGAACAGTTAATTTCAAATATGCTTGTTATTCACACACAGAACCCTCTAAGTGTGCTTCAATGAATAATAAAATAGGCTGTTCAGTTTTAAAGTCTAATGTTACATGTCTCTTCTTTTAACAGAAGAAGCTACTCACAATGCTGCAGCGTGTGCTACCCCTTGTTCCTGTTCATCATACTAGCTGCCTGTGTCATGGCTTCTGCTGGACTGATATGGATGCAGATTGCACTGAAAGAGGATTTAGACTCACTGAAGGAAAAGTGGCACAGCAGTAAGTGTGTTTGTCATAATCACCTTTGATTTTTACATTTCTGTTCATATTCTATCTAGCTGAGGTGTTTTTGTCACTGCTTATAACACATGATGTTTTTATTTTTGAAGTGGAATCCACCCAGAAGGCGTCGTCAAGTGAAATACCCAAATTAAACGAGGATCTGAAAGACGAGGGGAAGAAAATCGAAGAGATTGAAAACGGGGACAAGGGGTTGAGCAGACTCTGGTCTAACCTAACAGAAGTGAATCGAAAGGTCAGTTACGCTTATTACGCTTGCAATATCTGCTTTTTTTAAGTGCATTTTTGTAAAGAAAAAGCTATCAGCCAACATTCTCTCATACCAAAAGTTTTAACTTTTGCTCTGTTTTGTTTTGACATCAGACAGTTTATTGCACTTTTATAACATAAAAAAATGTGGTCAGATTTATAAATTTTCTGCAACGTACATGCCGCTTTTCCAGAGGATTTCATCATACAATGTGCACTTTTAGCTAAACTGTTCTGTTGCAACCCAAACAGATCACCTTTCTGGATTCAGCTGTCAGCCATTTGAAAACCAGTCTGAAATCGTCTGCTGATTTAATCGGCCTTCCAACCACTGTTGAAGAGCTTCAGAAGGTAATGTCAACAGAAGTTTGAACTTTGACGATGTGTTCTGAATTTAGTAACCACATGACACTTTTTTTCTGTCTTTTTTAGAGTGTTGCCACAATTGGCAGCACACTAACAAGTGTACAGCATGATGTGGAAACAATGAGAGCTTCTCTTGAAAATCAGAAGAAAGAGGATGAGTCAAAGAAGACCATGGTAATTTTGAATAGGCAGTTACTGTGACATTATTTTTTTTCTGAATTGATATTCATCCCAATCAATGTTGAATTCACTTCTCAGTGTGTACTTCACATTTTGCTTGATGGTTCAATGAACAATAGAGAAAAAAGTTTTACTCTTTTTACTTTTTTTAAATGAGAAAACTCACAGTATTAGTGAGTGTATGTAAAACACCCTACGTTTTTTTGTATTTTATTTTATTTTTGAGAAAAACAAAAAGCAGTAGCGAGCTGAATATCTCTCCCAAGGTAAAGACGTAGTGTTCAGTCCAATCCCCCTTTTCAAACACTAGGTGGCACTTATTTGGGGGCCTTTGTATGCAAAGCTGCAAACTATTGGGAAAAATGGCCAAGGGGTGTTACATTATGGTGCTACCTGTTATGTCCTGCTGGTTGATCATCCATAAAGTGTTGGTTCAGTGCTGGTTATGTAGAAGCAAAATGGTCTTTAACCTCATCTCTGCCATAATCACCACTATGACTTTGGTGCGGAGAGCTTTTTTTTGTTAGTTTGTTTTCTGCCAAAGGATTAAAATTAACTAGAAGGACCTATTCTAGAAATAGTGGTGACTTTAAGGGACATCTTCTCATCCTAACATGTATTTTTGCACCCTAAAGTGGAGGATATTTTTAGCTGTAGTGGCTGAATGATCTTGATTTCAGATTGTTGTTCATCTTTATGTTAACAAAAACAACATTTCCCAATTTTCCCAACTAAAATAGTCTCCTGCCTTAAAGGTGTAGTGGAGGATTGTTGCAATTTTTTTTTAAACTCATCCCAATTCACTTTAAAAAAAAAACAACAACCCTGTACCCGCTCCCAAGAGGGAACACCTATTAAACGCATGCAAGAGCATGCACGAGCCCATTTCTACACGTGCGCACTCAGTTTAAAAGTTACTTTTTGCATCGCTCAGACAAGCTTACTTTCCAAAAGAAGATTTGCAATTTTTCCACTATGTCTCACTCGCTATGACTCACCGGTAAGTGAAAATGGGGATGAGAACATAGGACGGCTTACGTAAAGTATCACCAGAATGATTGACAATTGGGAGGACCATTTATTTTGATGATAGACCCACAAAAAAGAACATCCTCCTCTATACATTTAAGCAAAATGTTTTTGTTTTTTTCATGAGCAAATCAAAGTACTTTTTAATCAGTACAAATTGTGCAATGATTTCTTTTTCTTGTACATATTATAAATTGTAGCCATAATGTAAATGCTGCTAAGAATACCTTTTTTCATTGGCACATAAAACAACATTAATGTCAAATAATATCATCTAGCATGCAGGCGACATGAGGTTATATTTTAATCTTCTTTTTATTCATAGTTGCAGGTTTGTTTTGTTAAAAACCAAAAAATCTACTACCCCACATCAAGACGTGTTGTGTTGATTCTCCAAATCATGGCTTGAATCCAAATGAGAAGCGCTGGTGATCGCTGCCACAGCCAGATTAATAAGTGCTTTAACCCACGCATGTAAGCAGCTTGGCAGTTCTTGTCAAACCCGTGTTAAAGGAGACGGGGGGATAAGAGGGTCCTGTCATTCTTTGGATCAATGCCTTGGCTTTGCATTCATAATACATTAAACAAGTGACAATCTATTTGGAGAGCTTCGATGCTATGAACTAAAACTAGGTCAGATATCTGAAAGAATGGGGAAAAAAATATCTTCCTGTTTTTCTCACATGCAAAACAAGATAAAATAAGAAAATCACCAAATATTTGCATATTGATGTATTTCTATTACCCTGACTTCATATTTCTTTCTTGCCCGTAGTTTTACCAGCTAAGTTTATGGCGGCTTTGAAAGGTGTTAACACCCCTGCTTTGACTGCAAGTTTTTATGATGTATAACAAATACAATATAAAAGCAAAGAAATAAAAAACATCTGTTTCAAGGGGAAAAAAATGCAGTATTAGGGTTGCATTAGTGTGTACAACCGGTCTGTAAAACTCTAAAACATTTTTAAATTCTTTTTCTGTCTTTTGTTAGAAGCCTATTAGTATGTCACATCTGTGGTTGATTATATTTGCTCTGTCTTTAAACATTTTTGGCACTTGATGATTGAGAGGTTATATCCTGTCCATTATGTATATATATATATATATATACCTCTCTGAAAACAGTGGCTTTTGCTAAGTCAGACAGATTCATGGACAATCCAAGTGGGGATTGAATTTACTCCAAGTTAATCAGATATACTATATTTATGTTTGGTGTGATCTAGAAGACTGAATGCTGAATCAAGTGGTGCAATAATAAAATTACTGTTGTGTGCATATGCATGAAGGTTTTCCAGCAATTTGTGTCATCGGTGAGGAAATAGTTTTAGAATTCTTGACCAGTCTTTCTTTTTTTATGTAGCCGTTATATGTTTACAAGTAAATATTTATTCCTTTTTACTGAACAGATTTTGTGTCCAGATTGTGCTTGCACATGTGTTAAACACTTAGTTGCACATATATTTACATCATGTATCATTTTGGTAGGACATCACAGACCTAAAAAGAGCCATGAGTGAGGTCAATAAGACGGAAGAGCAGCACCATATGTGGACTGATGAGCAGATCCACATTCTCCTGTCTACAGTTGCAGATCTTCATCAAAGAGTGGCCTCATTGGAGAATGGGTCAAAACACAGTGTGAGTAATACCCTAATTCTATGGTGCCTTAAATATAACTTTTTTTCTCCACTGCTATATAAGTTGATCGACTCATCAGGATATCAAAATGCGTTTTTACTCAGTCTTTTAAAGAAAAATGTTTTATTTAAAATGTTTTTATTACTCAATTGGTTTTACTTAGATTTTATTTATTAGGCTATGGTTGTCACTCAATATAAAACTAAAACATGTATGTGAAGCTTCCAAAAAGAATGTCTCATGTCAATTTCAGAAAATTAGAAGTCAACTGCTCCACACGATTGCCAAAAAAATATTTTTTTTTATTTTTTGCTTTAGGGATTTTGGTTCATGAACTCTTTAAAGTTAATTTTAAACATAAACGAGTAAGATGGTAACAGCCCAATACTGAACGTTTAACTCTATACTTTGAGTCTACAGACTCCAAGCACACAGTCATTTAATTACCTTCCTCCTTCCATCTATTTGCAGTATAAAGATGAAGCAGCTCCAGTGACTGTGAACAGTAAAGGGCCTGTAAATGCGATGGTGACAGAAACAACACCACCTCAGGATGTGGAAGGTACTACCTAGAAAAAAGCCAACTTAATTTCTTGACTTTCTTTCACTCTGTAGCTGTTTAACATGACCATCTGATTCTTCCTCTAACAGACATGTCTGCACCTCTGACAAAGCCACAAATAAGCAGACGTCCTCGCTTCTTAACTCCAAGACGATCGAGGAGGAGTGCCGGGACTAAATGTCCGAAGATGTTGTCCCTGCCGGGTGTCACTTCTCTATCAGGTCAAAAACACTGAACCTCTCCATTCGTTATTCTCAGTTTGAGGATTTTCCTTTAATGCTTATTTTTCAACATAGATGAAAAAGTAGCTGATGGCATTACATTTTATTTTTTAGAACTTGATCTCCATGTGCAATTTGGGGATCAAAAATTTGCAATTTTTTTCTTTTAGTGCATTTCAACTTCCATATAAAGGCACAAGAAGATCAGAGTGCAGCATTGCAAATCTTTTCCAAGGCTTCACACAAGCATCCTTTAATTATTTATATTAGAAGTAAAAGCTTTGTTACAGTGTGTGAGAAGGCATTCACTTTGCACCGGATGCTCTTATTAGAAATCATTGCATGAAATCATGGTTTTCAGGGTTCAATATTAGCAATGGGAACACCTAGCGTAAATGAAGCCATGTTCCCTTAGAGCGCTGGCGTCCAAAGTCGGTCCTCAAGAGTAGGGTTAACTGGTTATTAATGATTCAGGACTAACTGTCTAAACTGGGCAGAACACTGGTTGGAGTTTGAGATATCGGTCTTAAAGAGTGATCAGATAATTCCTTACTTGTATTTTTTTTTTCTCAAATTCGGACAAGATTTCCAAATTGAGCATGTTCCATGGCAGACGGGTTGAAAGATCAAAGATTAAAACAAAGCATTTTTTCTAGTCTTTATTCAGCCTTATAATCTGCTGAAAACAAAAATATTTTTTGTCATTATGTAACCATACCATAATTTTTCTCAGAAAGTTTTGCTCTCTCTCGCTCTTCTGAAGCCCAAATCAGTCAGACCTGTTGGAAATTGCAACAGTAGATACTGAATATTTTCAGATTTTTTTGGTCTCCAAGTTCCCTCTGACTTTTTAAAAATCAGACTATTAAAGTGGATGGCAAACTTTTTAACATATTTCAGGTTTTGTGGCAGATGTGTACCTTCTCTAAGCAATTCTGCAGTTTTAGCAGGGTAATAATAAACACTTAAATGTCAACTTTAATTGAATATTTTTCTGAATGCAGACCTTGAGAACCTCTACTGGAGAGCAGGAGTGGAGCGCAACCACCTCGGACTAACTTACCAAGACCTAAAGAATCAGTTTGGGGGAGCGACTCCCAGTGAACATGCTATGGCGTGCTTTGATGATGGAGACCGCAGGTACAGACTGGTGGAGCTGAGAGCTGCTGTGGGTTTGTGAGCTCCATGTCACTGACCGCAGTGAACAGTATGGAGCACCCAGCAGGGTCTGGGAGGGTTTGGGGATTTCGGACTTTTATCTGTAGTTGCTGCACCTTGGTGAACTAAGTATTTATCATTTTGACAGTGGTAAAAGAGGCACTGGTATGCCCTCTCCTCACACCTCCCCCACAAGTTCCACTTAAATATATTGTCAGCAAACAAAAATTGCTTAGATTTTAATAGTAATACGAACAAGTATTTGTATGTAAAATCTGATCCTTTTTAACCAGTTCCTAAAATTTTGTTTGTAAACATGGAATAAGTCATTTTTTCCCCATCCCAGGTCTTCAACATGAAGTAACTGATTATTTTTATTTTTTTCTGTTTTTGATTCTGTGTCTCATCCTGATGTAATGAATTGTTTGTTAAACTATTTTAGGCTGTAGCTCTCAGAAATGTTCCTGTCTACATCAACACCTGGTTCAGCTCACTTAAAGCTTGTCTATAATTACTGGAGAAGGACTTTTAATGAATGTTTACAAATGACTACTAGAAATGGCGTTTTAGAGGCTTTCATTGTGTTTTTGCACAGTTTCCTAACTTATCTAAGAAAAAACAATCAGATGTAAAAGCAGTCAAAACTTTTTCTATGCTCTTTTCTAAGCTAAAAGTAAAGTTTAAAGCTCTGCTTGCCTTCACCTTCAGATTTCCATCTGTGATCAGTCGATCTGTGCATTTAGTTGTAGTTTTGGTTTTTTGCTTTTCTCGTTTCCTGATGTTTTGCAAATTTGAAGGGCTACAAACTCCTTGCTAGAATTTTTATGGTTATTGAGGCACATGTAGCAATAAGTGATGTATTACAGGCGCACCGAGCTCACACTCTGTAAAAACCATCACTGTTTGCATTAATGTATATTTTATTGCATTATAAAGGTCCTACTTATGTAAGGATTCACACAAAGGCCATGTGGCCTGTTGTGCTTTGTAAAAATGTAATTTCAAACAGTTATATTCTAAAAGGGGTCACATTGTTGGAATTTAATCAGAGATCCTTCACTGCCTTTTTTTTTTCTTTATTTTGTTTTTCTTAAGTTTTGACCTGCTGGTTTTAAACAGATATGCTAAAGAGTATTTAATATAGGTATGGTTAAAAATCAAACTGAACATAGATGAAATAAAGGATTTCTCCAATACTGGTTAATCGCAGTAAATTAGAATGTCTGTGTAACCTATTCTAGTGATTTGAGTAAAAATCAGAAATTCATTATACACAGTGACATATTGCAAGCAGTTGTTTGTTCATTTTAATGATTATTGCAGCAAATAAAAGAAACCTCCATAAATTTTACTTTCCCTGAATGCATTTACCATATATCATGACCCAAAAAACAACAAAAAGTGGATTTAAAAAAAATATTCTGCCCAAACATGTCAATATGGTGTACAGTATCTGAACTTGATACATGATCAAAGTTTTGTTTGCATAATTGCTGCGTCTGAAGCATAGAATGGATGCAATCTAAAGGAGGCAACTCTAATTTAGTTGTAAAACAGTATGGCCTCAAAATCACAGGGTTTTTTAAGAAAGCTTTTGATGTCCAGCACTATTCAGATCACATTTGCACCCTCGTGGTGATGGATTTAATTCTTTAAAGTAATGTGGAGGACCAGGGTTTGCATACTAGTTGTGTAAGGTAAAACTCTGCTAGTCTGGAAGTAGGTTGTAATGACTTGCTGTGGCGACCCCTGAAAACAAATACATTTATAAAATTGTATAACTGATGCTGGCAATAATAGCGGTATTTATGAATTTAACAAATTACTGGTATTTAATCATGTACCAACAGTAATATCACCCTGGAGCTTATTGTGTCCTCAGTTAAAGGTTAACAGGATTGATACTTTTGACAGTGCAAATTCCATTGGAAAATGAGGCTCTTTTTCTTTTCACTTAATTTTCCATTAATATCCTCTCATTCAGCTGTTAAAAGCCAGAGTTTTAACAGTAGATTTGTTTTTAAAAGTTCTTTTTGAGCTTATGTAGTGGAATTTTGAGTTTTCCTTATTTGTCAAGAATCTACATGAACAAGACTTGAAATGTGTTGCTGTGTATTGAAATGAGATCATTTTACTTTTAATAATACCCTATTTTAGTAATTTAATTGTAAAATTGAGTTTTACTAGATTATTTTTATGCATCAAAACATGCTAGTTGCAACATTTGACCAAAAATTGTTTAACTTTGGATGCTTTAAGAAGAAGAAAAAAAGGGGGGGGGGTTCTTAGCAATTGACCCTTTATCAAATGAAAATGTATGACTTGTTTAAGTTATTTTTGTTCCCAAAAATAATTTTCTATAATGGTTTTTGCAGGACTGAGTTTGGCTTTTGTCACTGCCATATTTTTGGGTCCACATTGCAACTGTAAATGTTTTTGTTTTTTCGTTTGAGCACCAATGAATAAAGTAAGTGAAAGGCTTGACTTTGTGTTTTTGTAATAAATTAAAGAGCCCTGGATTCTGTCACATTTTTACTGGTGCGTTGCAGGAATCAAATCTGAAATTTACAAAACATTGTGACTTTAAGTAAAACTATTTACATGTTTGGAAACATTTGTCAAATTGTGACCAAAAACATGATTTACAGTAACTTTAGGCTAGAGCTCCCTTAGCTCTCCAGTCTTGGGACAGAAGTCCCAGCAACCCCTCTTCATCCTCCTCCCCCTCCGCCTCGTTGTTTTCCTCAGTCTCCATGTTTTCATCCTTCCTGGGCTCACGTTTACTCTTCAACACATCCCTCTTGTCCCTGAGCAGTTCCACCCTTTTATAACACTCGATCTGTTCATCAATCTCGTCGATCTGTCGCTCAAGGCGCCCTTCTTCATCGTCCTCTGCCACAATGGCCTCAGACTTAGTGTTCACCTGTCGGATTTCCCTCTGAAACTCTTCCCACTCCTTGTCCATCTGATCCTTCGGGGCGTCGACGTTTCGGACCTTCGCGTCCCTGACCGGATCGTCGAAGAAACCCTCTGGCAGTGCCTCAGCGGTGTTGTCTTTCTTTTCGGCGGTCTTCTCCGCTACCTCTGCTTTGAGGATGGATCCTGAGTGGGATATAGCAGGCGTGGATGGGATGGAGCTGTCAAAGAAGTCGGCTGGCAGCTCCTCAGCTGGCTGAGCTGGGGGGTTGTGCTCATCAGTTTTTTCATCGTCGTCTTCGTCATAAACTCCGGCTAAAAGGCTCAATCCTGCAGATTTCTGTGAAGGCGCCTTTTCAGCTGGTTTCTCAAAGAAGTCTCCAGGCAACCCTGACCCAGACTGACCTGCTGTTTTGGCCTTTTTTTGAACAGCTTCCTCACTGCCCTGCGTTTTCCTTTTTGTCGGCTGACTCTGTGGTACAGCTGGTTGACTCTTTGCTTCTTTCAACTCTGCAACTTTATCTTTATGCTGCTTTCCCAGAACGTGAGTTGGCCACAGCAGTTCAGATCTCACCTGCACAGAGCACAAGGAGCAGCTGAGGTGACCCAAACTGTTGTATTTAGCGAAAGGAGATTCCACGCGCTTCTTCTCTGTGTTTTGCCTTTGTTTCTCTCTCATAAGCCGCCGGAGTTCTTCTTGGTTTACTACTTTCTTTCCCTTTTTTGACGCCATTCTTGGTAACGAAGCGTGTTAGCTTAACCGGCTACTTACTTCACAAACAGAAACGTTTCGGCTCTTCTTGTGTCAGCAATAATGGTGGTCAGTCTCCATAGCGCCACCGCCTGGCAGGGAGGTTAATTCAGAGACGATCCACTTGACTTATCTACATGTTTTTTTGGCGTTAGTGCTGTCATTCAGGGGCGGAGCTAGATGGGTTGGCCATGGCCACCCCTACCATTTTTTTTAATCTCTTAAGTAGAATATTCAAAACATTTAAATTCTATATATTTTAACAATTACTTGCCAACAAAATTACTGTGGTTAATTATGCACATCAATATAGCAACATTAGAGATGATTAGTAAAGAATTCATGCTCTTTCAGAACTAGATTTTGTGTTATATGCCGTAAAGAGAAAATGATGCGTCTCTGCAAGTCATCTAAGAGTCTTCAGTGAAATCATAGATACTGTAAATAACTATTTTAACATAAACTATTAAATTATCAATTTATGTAGATATTACTTCTTGTAAAAATCAATTTAGTGTAGAATTATATTGATAAAAGTAGGTAAGTAATGACGATGTAAAATATCTTTGCTCCGGAGCTGAAACCTCAAAGAATTTTATCCAATATAGCTTTTATCTAGACGGATCTTTAAATATATGCATATATTTGTCAGTTTGTCTTTATTTAGGAATATGGACGTTGTGCTTGTTCCTGTTGGAACAATGAAGATTGATCCTTAGGTTCTGGTGCCTATTCACTTTTTGCCACCCCTCAGTATGCAATGGTTATTAACTGGCCACCCTTATCAAAACGTTCTGGCTACACCTGTGCTGTCATTCACTGTTAAGAAATGTTTAGTTTTCTTTTATATATTTTTTCTCAGTTCTGGATATAAAAAAGGAACCGGAGTATATTTATTTCTTATGGGGTTTTTAGTTCAATTTTCCAAAGAAGAGAAAATTATCCAATCATCCGTTTTCTTCCGCGTTATCCGGGGCCGGGTCGCTGAGGCAGAGGAAATCTTCTAACAAATTGTAAATACAGTGCATCTAACATCAATTTGTACTTTCACTGGCAAGCTCATGGATCTGAACATTTATTTGTCAATGTTTTGCATTTTAATTTACTGAGTACACACTTTCTAAAAAAAAAAAAAAAAAAAAAACCACTTCTTATCTTCTTTTCACTGCCACAGACAGGTGTAAAATCAGGTTGAACTAGTACCTTTGCTCTTAAAGTGTGGCTACAATGGAAAGCGCAGTGCTAAAACTACTTTTTTCTTCAGTATCACAAACAAAACAGATACTTGAGTTCCCAGAATGTGCTTACATTTCATCTATGATTTGCTACTGTAGTTTTTTTTTTTTTTTCTTGTTTTTATTTTTATTTTTTTCTAATCTATTAAGCAAACGTTTCATTTGAGGTCCGAAAGAATCGGTTCTTTTTCAGTCTGTTCAGCTCTCAATGCCTTGGCTCTTGAAACGAACCAGAAATCCCGCCGATAGCTCCCGTCTAAACCGACCTAATGTGTGATCTCGCGAGGTTTGCTGGCAGTCGCTAGCCAGAACGTTAGCTCTGTTGGTTTATTGTACCAACCTGTCCAACCATCGTTTGCTGCAAAGACTGAACAGATTTGAATTTAATACGCACCTTTAAAGACGATAGAAGACACAACGATGTAGTCGTCTGTAGGTCGTTTTAATTTCTCCCTCCGTGTTTATTTAGTGCGTGTGGTTTCTGTTATGTTTAAGGTTAATTTCTTTATTCATCGCCGCGCCCATCGTACTCATTTTTTATTTAGGGCTAGCAAGCTAACGTCTAATAGAAGCTAATGTTGGGTGTCAGTTTTTCAGCAGGTGTAGCGATATTAGAATTGTAAACAAAAATATAAAGACAAGAATAAGCCTTCGCAAGTGCTTTATTTTATTATATGGTTTGCTGACTTTTATCTTTACCTTTCTGTAGTAGTTACAGTTATCCAATTGGCGTACGGTAGTCATAATGACAGGTGAAAAGATACGCACCATGCGGAAGGATCATAATAAGGCGAATAAAAACGAAGCGATATTGGACGCCTATAATGAGACATCCGACGGGACGGTCCCCAATGCTAATAGTAACCGCTTCAAGTCGAACAAGGCTTTTCAGAAATCTGTCAAATCCTCGACACTGCAACAGCAGCTCAATGAGAACAACATAAACGGCAATGCATCGGTTGTGAATGATGACAACAAAAACCCGATAATCCTGACAAACGAGGAGCTGGAGTTTCCTGTTCATGAGTGTGTGTTTAAAGGGGATGTCCGTCGACTCTCATCTCTCATCAGGACCAAGAGCATCTCTCAAAAAGACGTGCATGGTTAGGTTTATGCTCTTTTTTTTTTTTTTTTTTTTTTTTTTACCTATATTTGTAATGATCTCATTGTCACAGACTATATGTGGTGCATTAAATTATTATGTGATCAGCAATGTATGGATCTCAGAAATTCAGTTATAAAGTTAAAACTTAAGAAAATACTGATAGAAAGAGAAATTAATGTGTATTTTGTTTGTTTTGATTACCGCTTACAGCAAATTAAAACCCAGAATTCATAATTGGGTTTTGAAATTATATATTTAATTGGACCATGTCTCCACTGTCATTGAAACCTGCAGGAGTTTAGGCCTCTTTGACCTTATTAGTCCCAATGTCATGAATTTATATAAATAGAATACCTGAAATGAAAAAAAAAAAAATCATGACTAATGCTTTTATCTCTGTGGATTCAACATTTTTTATCATTATTTTATTTACTTTGTCATTTTAGGAAACACACCTCTACACCTTGCTGTAATGTTGGGCCAAAAAGGTAAAAAAAAAGAAAAGCTTCCCTTTTGTCATTGGAACCCCCCACTGCAAAACCCTTGGTTTTTAACTTAAACATAATTTTTCAGAAAGCTTAAGATTAATTGTGACTATTATTGTACTATCAAATATGATTATGTGTGTTCCCCACACTGCTTTGGGACAATCACCATGATATTGCCATTCAACCCTTTATCGTCTGAGATCTGCTGAGTTGGGAAAATATTTCCTAAAAAGGCCTGATCAGTGTGATATTTTTGTGGCATGAATACTATAATTTAAGATACTATGATTTTTTACATGGGGGAACTCGAACATACCTTAGCAATATAACAAAACAGAATGGTCATTGTTATATCAGTGGGTGCAGTTGCAAAAAACGTCTTTAAAGAAAGTTTGATCAGGTTTCTTAAGTCAATTTACACTCCTTCAGAAGAATGTAAATGTAGGTTAATAACAACTTTGTTTTTTAATTATGCCACAATAATATTGCAATTCTATGTTTTATAATAATGTATTTAAACAAGACCTAAAACTAAACAACCTCTAAATGTAGAGGTTTTGGTATCACTGTGTAGAACAATATCTCATTGTGTTGCCATTTGCTTAAAAAAGTGAGATTGGGAGTAAACAGTGCTCAAGGGGGAAACTTGTCAGTCACTTGCTTAGACTCATGTTTTCCTATAGGTAGTTTAAAAACCACTTAACCTTAATTCAATTCAATTTCAATTCAGTTTATTTATATAGCCCCAATTCACAACAAATGTCATCTAAACGCATTTTACAGTTCAACCAGATCATACAGTCAAATTGATTCAAAGTTTTCTATCTAAGGAAAACCAGTTGATTGCATCGACTCATTAACTTGAATGCAATCGTTCACACTAAACATGCTTGTAGTGACAGTAGAGAGGAAAAACACCCTTTTAACAGGAAGAAACCTCCATCATAACCAGGCTCAGTGTGAACGGCCATCTGCTGAGGCTGACTGGGGTTCAAGGAGACAGAAGCAGAGAAACAAAAATCAGCTACAAAAGGTGGCCCTGTCCAGGAAACACACAGCCAGTCAGACGAGCTCTGAGCCAGCTTCCATGTCAGAGGATGAAGAGAGCACGTCCAGCCAGTCACAGTCAGAGAAACAGGACTACAATGGAAAACAGGAAAACAGTTATTGGTTTGATCAATGGGGGTAACTTGATTTCAATCCTATGACTGTTTTTGTGTTTGTGCAAAGAAAAGTTTCCAGATAGCCCGATGTTTCCCTGTTTTAAGCACAGGAGAAATATAAAAAAAATTTCTGGCCAGCTCATGGGCAGTGCATATCATCATGCGGCTAGGAAAGTGACTCTTTGCGAGGAGACTCTGAGACCTCTACAGCTTCTCATTAAAATGATGTAGTAGGAATGTGGGTTGCTATTTCTGCAGTAACTCTGAGCAGGATTCTGGTAGGGTAACAGTTAACAACAGGAATCTTAATGTAGTTACTGAATTTGATTGCATTAATTGTGTTTTTAACATGTCTCTCCATTGTAGAATTAACTGCTGAGCATGAACCAAGCACAGAGTATACTGTACATCTATACAAGGCTTACATTTATCTCTGTGTTTTGTCTTTCAGAGTGTGCCCTTCTCCTCCTGGCTCACAATGCCCCTGTTAAGATAAAAAATGCGCAGGGATGGAGCCCCCTTGCTGAAGCAATCAGCTATGGTGATAGACAGATGAGTAAGTTGCAGCAGCACAGCTCTGAGGAGTTTAATATGTGACATTATGCTAATTTCAGCATCATGTTATGACATTTGGAATCTGAGCTTTGAATTCTACTGTTGATGCCTCTCACTTATGCATTGGCAGCAGAACTGCTGTTTGTCTGAACTGGAAAATCATTTTGGTTACATTCCAGCTGCCTTTGATTAGTGCAAATATTTCCTTCTTTTTCAACCCCCCCAAAAAAAATTATAACTTCAGCTTTGGATTCCCCATTTTTTTAGTTTATGGACGCAGCGCAGCTGCTGTGGTGCTTTTTTGTTGGGGCCATTTAAATAATTAAATACAAACATTTAATCATGGCATTGCTCAGATGTCAGCTTCAAAAAGTTATAGGATTTGGCGTTTCTTGGAGCACTTGTCAGCCAGATTGGATTGGAAGCAGTTCGTGCTCTGACTTATGATATGAGGCAGCTCTGAGCTTACGTACTAATCACCACCCCGCTCAGTGATGCTGCTGTTTTTAAGTTCAAAGTCTAGTAAAACAACCTTTTAAATTGTGTAAAACAGGAGCTTGTGTTGACTTTGTTCCCTGTGTAAAGGTGCAGACAAATTCAGCTTTTTTTTAAATTCCAAATAGAAGACAAATATGGAGTTACTGACGTGTTTAAGTCATGCATTTGGTTCATTCTTCCGGTGAAATAGATGATGAAGCTGATTTATTGGGCATCTTGTGGGTATTTTCACAAATGACACCAACCTTTGTTAGTATGCATCTCAGCTACCGCTGCCTGTCATGGCGAGCTGGCCGAGGACAGGTTCTGGGACTAGAAGCTTTGCTTTGAGAAGGTCACGTGTCTCATGAGGGGGCAGCAGTGAGGTTTAGAGGGAGGGCTATCATCTGCCAGGATGTGGAAGGTCATACAATTAGGGAATATCAGATTTATCCTAGAAAATTGATTTATCTGCAAGTAATTAGTGTGAGCAAGAAATGTAAAGATGTTTGCTTGAGATAAATTATGCGTCACAGGTTCAGCGGCACACCAAAGGCTTATAAGTAACACATTTCAGCTGCTAGCTCTGTGGTTGTCTGAATGTGCAGCAGCAAACTGCCTGGTCCTCAATGGCCACAACCAGGCCCGCTCCGGGTGCTGAATTCTGCCGGCATGAGTCAACCAGGATACACTGAGAAGTGCTGACTAGCTCTGTGCAGTCCGCTGTAATTAAAGGGTCACCAGTTCTCAGTGAGGCTTATTTCACAAAGCCAGTGAGTTATTGCTGCTGACTCCGTCCGTGCTGTTGGTAGCGGTGCATTAGTGTGATGCATTTGAACCAGATGAAGTTAATGATTCTGTTACTGAAGACGTTCAGGGTCAGTTTGGTGCAGCATCCTCCTAAAATGTGGCAAAGAGGGAAGGAAAAAATTGATGTATTGATAGAAATTGATTAGCAAGAATGCTAAGATAGAGACATTAACACGCACATAGAGGTTTTTTTATCTATATGTGTATATATATATAGGGATAATTTTAACCTTTGAGGCGGAAATATTGATGTTAATATTTATCGAATACCATGAAATGGAACAAACTTGCTGAGAGAATTTAAGTCACCCTGAAGTCTTTTAAGTTTAATCATGTACAACACAATATTTTTCACATGTTCAAAATGTTTTCGGGTGTTTTCTTCCCCTCTCTGACAGTACTTTGATCTTTTTTTAGTCATTTAGCCGAGAAGGCAAAGATTTTCTGTATCAACTCTATTTGACTAACCCAGGAAGTCAGCTGCAGAGGTTTAGTTTTGTTTTGAGCCATACTGTAGATACAACCCTTCCATGCTGGTGAATGTTTACTGACCTTATCTGTTTTTGTTCCTTCTTTGTTCCAGTTACGGCAATATTAAGAAAGTTGAAGCAGCAGTCAAGAGAGAATGTGGAGGAGAAAAGGCCAAAATTAATGAAAGCTCTCAGGGAGGTGAGGATTTCATGTAATATGAGACATGTGTAGATATCGCCTGAATGCTACAGCTGCCCTCCTGTGTTACAGAAACGATTTTGTATAAATGAAGACGATACTGCAAAGTCTTCTCTATTGATCAGATGAATTCTTTGACCTTTTGTTGTTTTTTTCCTGCAGCTTGGTGACTTTTATCTCGAAGTTCATTGGGACTTCCAGAGCTGGGGTGAGATTTGTCCTTATAAAAATAAAAAATCAGTTTTCTTTTACGGTGGCATAGCAAGAACATCGTCTGCAAAGGTGTACATTTTATTGCAGATTAACAAATAGTTGATCAAATCTTTCTGTTATCAATTAATATTTGGAAATAACAGTATCTCAAAGAGATGAGTTTATTAACATCACTTTCTGTCTGTTTTAGTGCCTTTGCTTTCCAGGATGCTGCCATCTGATGCTTGTAAAATCTACAAGCAGGGCAATAATATCAGGTAATTAAAAAAACAAAGTTCCAGCACTAGTAGAAGAGTAGAAGGAAAGTTAAATGCAGCAAATGGCTGATATTTAGGCCAAGGACTTCTTTTAGAGGCAGAAAGTAGGCCGAAACAATTCTGACACCCTCCTCATTCTCTGTCCCAATTTAGACTTGACACTACACTCATCGACTTCAACGATATGAAGTGTCAGCGCGGAGATCTGAGCTTCATTTTTAATGGTGAAGCCCCACCCTCCCAGTCCTTTGTGGTTCTGGACAATGAAGCTAAAGTGTACCAAAGAATACACCATGAGGTGATAAGCTGTGACCTGAAATCTGTTTGAATGAATGTTTATCATGATGTATATAGCAAGCTTTAATTGCTGTCCTAGGAATCTGAGATGGAGACTGAAGAGGAAGTAGACATTCTGATGAGCAGCGACGTCTACTCTGCAACTCTGTCAACAAAGTCGATAACTTTCTCTCGGAGTCAGATTGGCTGGCTCTTCAGAGAGGATAAAACGGTAATGTTTGCATCGGAGCTTCAGTAAGACACTTGTCACACTTTAACTGGAGAACAGATTTACTACAGGAGTTACCTAAATACTTTAAACTATATATCCTTAATAAAAATATTCTACAAGAATACTTGGTTAGGGGTCTGTCTGTCTGGCTTTAACAGTGGTCTTTGGTTCAACAGCATAATTTTGGTGTTTCCTCTTTGTTTTACCTCATGGATTCTCAGACCCCTTTGCTAACCTGTCAAGCCCTATAAAGCCAAGAAACATTGCCAAGTCCTGCTTGAAATGACAAGAATGATTAGATTAATCGTAATTAATCGATTATTGAAATAAACGTCAACTAATTTAGTATTCAATCGTTAACTGGAGTATAGAGACTGTAAAACATGCCTTTAGCTGACAGAGCAACCCACTTACAGCAGTTATTATATCAAAATTGTAAAAATGTATATATACATTTTGCATTTAGGATAAGAAAGTTTGTGTCTGTCAATCTGCTCTATCCAGAGCTCCTCAAGTGGAAAAGTTTTAGTTTCACCTGGTTTCGTTTAGAAAAAAAAAATATTTCTTTGAGGAACCTTGGGTTATCCAATTATTAATCAAAAAATAATCGCTAGATTAATCAATTAGCAAGATAATCGTTAGTTGCAGCCCTAGAAATCAGCATCATGAACCTTATGGGCAGATGGAAGCATTACATTTTTTAATGTCCTGGTATTTGGTTACTCTGAGTTTCAATTTGAACACAGTGGTTAAAGTCCAGTGGATGATGATAGCTCGTCATATCATCACAAACTGAAGAAATGCCTCAATTGGACCTCATTTATTCAGTGACACTCCCCTTTTCCTCAAGGCTTAGACCTAGATTTTAAAATGAAATTCAGTCTTTATCTGGAAAAGGTCTCAGTAGGTATCAGACCTGTTTCTTATCTTAGCACTTAGCAAAGTCCTGGATGCGTATGTTTGTGCTACACACCTTGTTTTTTTCACCCCTGCTAGAATTCTTAATTGGGCTTTGCTTTACAGTCCTCCTCAGGTTGCAGTTATCACTACTGCTTATGAATTCTTCTTCTTCCACATAACCTTCCTAAGATGTTGTTGAATACACCACTCTGCCACTCAGTAAAGTGAGCACAGCTATTTTGTATCTGGCCGATGATGACTTTTAGATTTCTGCGTTCTGTGTTTAGGAGAGGGTTGGAAATTTCATGGCTGACTTCTATGCTGTCAACGGTCTGGTGCTGGAGTCCAGGAAACGGCGGGAACATTTAAGCGAAGAAGACATCATGAGGAATAAAGCCATCATGGAGAGCCTGAGTAAAGGAGGAAGCATTAGCGAGCAGAATTTTGAGGTAGGAAAAAAAAGTTTATTTCTGTGCTCTGTCTTCATTTACCGACAGTTAATAGTTGTATCACTTTAAAACGGTCATTATCCCCCTGACTGATGTTTTCCTGTCTTTAGCCTGCGAGGAGGCAGTCCCTTACAGCTCCAGCCCCCAACACTATTTCTTGGGAAGAGTACATTACAGCGGAGCATGGAAAGTACGTTTCTATGGTTTCATCAGTCATTGCCGTAATTTGGCCGATTATTCAGGGCAGCTACAAGCCTATCTGTGCAAGTGTTAAGTTTGTAATACATCTTTATCTGCTTTGTGTCTCATCTCACCTTCAGGCCGCCTCACCTCGGCCGGGAGCTCATGTGCAAGGAAAGCAAGAAGAACTTCAAAGCTACCGTAGCCATGAGCCAGGATTTTCCTCTAGGCATTGAGTCGTAAGTACATCCCATCCTCCTTAGATCTATCCGCAGGGCTTTCAGCGCTGCTTGATCCATGGAATACTCTTGGGGTTTTAGGAAAGTGTTGAGTGGAGATAAAATAATTCAGATAATAAGGCCTGGAACATGAAAGGTTTCACTTCTTACACGGAATAACCGCTGATAAGAAAATCTACAAAACCAGAAAGAAAATTAAACCCGTCCATGAACTGAATGCAGACATCAACAGATTTCTTTATTTTTCTAGTAAATAACAAACATCAGTTCTTTTTCCACTGCAGTTTATCTGTTTAAAAAAGTAATACTAATATACCAGCAGCCCAGCTGGTATGCCTGATGTGGAGCTTCTTTAATTGGCTGGAGCTGCTTGTAGTTTCCAGCTTCAGAGGTTATTTTCAATTTACAGAGCTCCTGTACCGTATTTAAAAAAAATCCCAAGATAAAAGTTGGAACACAGAAACGAATTTATCACTCTGTTACTTTAAATAAGTAGAATTTTTTTGCATGTTTTTGTTTTTTAGAGGAGCTGTAGTTCAATTGCCACACTAAAGCCATGTATTTAGCTTTACTTATTTGGTGTAACACACTAAAACTAAAATATATTGCTTTCTTGAAATAAGAATTGGTTTCATTTTCCGCTAAAATTGGGTTTCGGTCAATCTGTGATCTTTAAATTGGTCATGGAGAACCAGTAAAGTAGATTTGAGGAAAAAAAAAACAGTTTAAAAGATACATGCATGTTAGAAAAGGTAAATGATGATGATGTTGGATTAATGCAGGCAGTGTTATGTAAGGAAATTGCCTTATCTCCTCTGCTGAGTGAACCCTAATGGGGAAAACATTAAAACCCCATTCTTTATCACAGTTAATGGCTTTTTAATGTCATTTTTAGTCTTCGCATTTTCTGCTTTGTATTGTTGAAAATATATTTGCTGCTTTTATAATGTTCACTTTAATGGAAAAAAAACATCAGTGTTGCGGTTAGAGAAAAATTACTACATCTTGGAGCAGATTATATTATCAGAAGTCTCCGTCCCAGGGGCTCTTTATAAGTGTTTTCTTTTTTTTTTTCCTCCAGCTGAACAGCCCTTTGTAAAAGTATTCCTGTCCCTAAGAACTTTTCCACATTGTGTCACGTCACATCTTTAATGTATTTTATGATAAATTAATATAAATGAATGCATAATGGGAAGTCGATAATGCTTTGGGTTTTTAATGTGTTTTCAGATTTGGGATTTAACGTGACTTTAAAAAAAGAGATGCATTGATTCTGTTCAGATTTGTTTTTGAGAGATGATATCAGCTGTATCCAAAGATGCTTCCTAGCTACCCAAATATTAGTTATTTATAGTACTGGCCAGGGAGTGTGCTTAAAACGGAGTTTGGCGGAAATCATTTTTACTTTTTCAAAGCTAAAAGAAGGTGATTACTTGCTGGCTATTGCATCATATATCAGCAAATACTCCTCACTTTTTTACCTGTCAGTCAGCACTTCAGATTATGTACAAAGGCTTGTTTACATGGCAAGATTTAAAAATTCAATACTCATTTTAATACCCAAGAGACTCCAAATATGGTGATGGAACAGTATTGGTCATACAGCGTGTTTGTGCGTTACACAGCACAGCACAAGCTGATTTTCACGCACTTCCTGCTCATTGAGAAAAGTGTGTCCAGACGCAGCTTACGCATGCCTTAATGTACAATGACAGAAGCAGTAGTGAGAATTGCATTGCTTTATTTCTCTGATTAATTGAAAATAAAAAGTTTTAAGGTTTTCAAGGGAGAAAGTACATCTCAAAATATCATCTATGCCACGGATGTCAGTGGTTCCAGAAAGGGCCGTGTGGCTGCAGGTTTTCTTTCCAACCAAGCAATAGCACACTAAACTCCAGCCATCTCATCAAGTGACTCCAATCTGAACATGATGACTTGATGAGATGAATGGAGTCTACTGTGCTATTGCTTGGTTGGAAAGAAAACCTGCAGCAACACGGCCCTTTCTGGAACCACTTTGACACCCCTGATCTATGCAGTCAGTTCATCAAAATTATGATCCTACCTTTTAAATATTATTTTCTGAGCAGAAGACCCCCGCATACAGGTGGGCAGTGGCACTGCAAATCCACGATGACGGCTCCCTCCAGTCAGCAAAACAAGTCCTTCCGCTGACGTTTGTAGCAGCTGGAAGTTAATATAAGCTTCTTTTTTTCTTTTTTTTTTTTTGCCTCGCAAGTTTAAGTGAACATTAGTGTTGATTAGTGCGGTGATCAAAGCAGTCTCACTTTTCACTGCATGTAGACCTAAGTGCAGTGTAACCTCTTTATATTTACATATTCTTGTTCATTATTTATGATTGCGGGCTAACGGCATTAACCATCCTTACCTAAGAAGGAGAGACCTCAGCTTGGATGCAGTGACTGTCTCCCAGCCAGCTCCTGAGTCAGTTTCTCTTGATGTGCCACATCCAGCGGTAAAGCCCAGCATTTTGGATGCACTTGACTCGGGGAACAACACAGAAGATCAGCCAAGACAATCCTGTGTGTGGGTTTTCCTCGATTTGTGATGGGTAGACCCCATCACTATTAACAAAGCACAGGAAGCAGGATGATCTCCCTGATAATGAAAGCCACTTCTAAAGCAAAGAACAGGGCAGGATTGACATGGTTATCGTGATGGTCTTGAATCCCTGCCTAAGCTTAAAAAGCTAACGGAAAAAAAACACGTCTGTGATGTGTTAGGCTTCTTTTCATTTAGAGCATCTTCAATTCTAATCTTTTGATACCTGTAGAAACCCTGGTTTCTCTTTACAGTTCAGTTACTTCATGCACCATTTCTTAGAAACGGGTAGTTTTAGTGTGACCTAGATGCATGTTTAATACCCTGATTTTTTTATTTTGTAGTCATCCCAAACCTAATCTTTGTTTAAGGGTCTATTCACTTCTGCCACATTTGGTCTGCTGTAAAGAGACCATAAAATGTCCACTATGGTAGCAAACCATCATAGGGGTAAAGGTAAAGTCGAGCTGTCTGATACATGGCAACACTGCTGCCAGCAAGCGGTCTATCTCCCCAAGTTTGTGGATGGATTCACTGTCACAAAATAAACATCGAAAGTCACTAAATGTAAATTAAATGAGCGGCTCTTGACACTCTCTGTTGTTGTGCTTCTGTAAAAACATGATAAATATGCAAAACAGAGGCGCTGCATGCTGGACTCCTATAGTTTTCCTCCATTTCTGATTCTGGTCTCCATCCTGCTGTAGTCATTTCTGACGAGCGGGAGCAACGATCGTCAGACCTGTGACTTTGCTATGAGTTATAGTCCACTTGCAAAAAAGTACAAAACCATATGGTCTGTTTGAACGGACCAAGCAAGCGGTTTCCGTTCTAGTGTAAATAAACCCTATAGTAAAAATAATGACTATTCAATTAATTAATTATTTCTTTTTACTTTTCACATTTCCATGAAATAACCATCAGACATAACACATTTCATAATTGATCATGTCCTTTATTTCAAAACATGTCACCAAAAGCATACATAAAAATTGTCAGTTCTTGTACAGAATTGTGTAGAATTTGAAATGTAAGCTCTGAATATTTATACCTTTAATTAGGAATTGTACAGCCAGGATGATTGGAGGTATTCTTAATGGCTGCAGTGTTGAAAACAATGCATTGAGGATTTTATGAAAACCTAGAAGCTGAGCAGTTTGTTAGTATACCACATTATTAAGGGACACAACACAACATTTTTAGTTATATTATACAGGTAACAATGTATCTGTTTATTGCATTATATTTTAGTCAACAAAAGTCTGAACTATTCAGTTTCATTTCTAAATGTTAACTTGTAGATGTATGTTTTCTTCCATTGTCCTCTAGTATTTTTTTATTATTAACTTTTTTCAACGAATTTCTCGAATTGCATCACATCTCTTTTGAGTTCCTGTTGTGTTCTGTGTTTAAAACCCAAGTTCTGAATCCTTTGCTTCTTCCTCCAGGTTACTAAACGTGTTGGAAGTGATAGCCCCTTTCAAGCACTTCAACAAACTCCGGGAGTTTGTTCAGATGAAACTTCCACCGGGATTCCCAGTCAAACTCGGTATGCTTCGACCTTACCGCTAGGCTGCCTGCAAGTGGGCAAGCTTCAGGGGGAAAGATCAATAACAGGTTTTTTTTAACTTATCTTCTTGTTCTTGCAGACATCCCCGTCTTCCCAACCATCACAGCGACGGTCACCTTTCAGGAGTTCCGTTACGACGACTTTGACGAGTCTATTTTCTTCATCCCTGCTGAATACAAGGAAGACCCAAGCCGCTTTCCTGACCTCTGACCTGCCAAAGGGTTCAGTTTGAGTTAAGGGAGAACTGAGGACTGGTCTGATTCTTAATACATATTACCTATTTAAAGTAAAAAAAAAAAAAAGGGAAGAAAATGGGCAGGGTGCTCTTATTGATTAGTTTTCTGTTCATTTTGCTGATGCATCCAATGAAAATGAACCCAAGAGGATTTGTCAGAGTGCCATGTAACCCAAAAGATGAATATCTGCAGATGTTTTTTGTCAAATGATTAATGGCTTTCATTGTACTTGCTGTTTATACATGAAGCAGGTAAAGCTGCTGCTGTGTGCTGCTGTGCACCATTTTTAAAGCTGTCAGATCGATATTTCAGTATACTCCACTGATATATGAATTCCTGAAGCTGCGCTCACTTCTTCAGAAATGTAAATAATTCTTTCATTTTTGGTTCACAACATAAAAACCCACAAATATAGATATATCCTTAAACTGAGCTTACTGGTCATTTATATATTGCATATTATATATATAAACTCAAAGGAGTGACACTGTGTAGCAATACATTTCCAGTACTTAAGAATGTTTTTTACCCAAATGGGACACGGTTTGGTATAAACAACCTCAAACAGTTTGATATCAAAGCCTTTTTCCCTGTGCAGGACACGGCCTCCTGTGCTTTCAGGTCTGCTCATGTTACCTCTCAGCTGTCTGTGTTTTTCGTAAAGTACGAACCCCTGTGCTCGGTACGAGTGAGTATGTCTACTGTGTCCTGAAACGTTCTGTGTGTGTGTGTGTGGGGGAGAACTCGGATTGGGGTATCAGGTAAACAGTTTGTAGTCTTAATATTGCACTGATATTTAAAGGCATGCTACAGCTCTGTTAGCCTCCTGGATCAAATGTATCCTGATGCTACATTAGCCAAGAGTTTGTTGATGTATAGTACACGCAGACACGTGATTCTTTAGATTAACGGGTGTGTGACAAATAACACTAACACTTTGAAACGATGTCTTGCGATACACTTTTTTTTTTTTTGTTTCAAATGTATATGAATCCGAGGAGTGGAAATGCAGCTGTGAAGTTCATTAAGCTGGATATCAGTATTGAGACAGGAAATGATGTGATCCATCAAATTGTTGCTGGCTTCAGCTGTTCTGTACTGCAACCATATCTACTTCACATCCCTTTAAATAAAGCACCAGCATCATGTTTCAGCTACACCTGTGCTAGCATCATTATTTTCAGTTTAGACTTGATCCATTTAATGTGGTAATGCTACCTGTAAAGAATCTAGTTTTAGCTCTGAACACTATTGTTTGAGTAGTGAGTTATAAATACTGGGACCCAAAGGGCTAAAGCACTGAAAAAACAAGATTTTTTTTTCTTAAAAGCAAATCTTATATTAGCTTGAAGCATTAGTTGGTTATTTTCTTTCAACTCTAATAAACAAATGACATCAGAGAGGCTCAGTTAAAACCCTTACATCAGCTCTGCTACCATCTAGTGGTTAAAGGTGTAACTTCATACAATGCTGGCTCAAAATTGAAAAGGTAAATTAGAGTAGGCCTGTAAATATTTTCTAAAGTAACTATCATCAGTGGAAACTGATTTCAGAAGTCCAATGTGTATATTTTTTATCTTTGAGCAAAAGCATTAACCTTTTAAAAATACGTTATGTCATGAGTCCATTTTTTAAGCTAAAACTGTAGAAGCACCTTTCTATTTTTTCCACTTTCATAAGAAATATGTGGTGAAGGATTTATAAATGACTGACATGTAATAAACTCCCCAAAATACTTTTTCAAAAAAGAAAAAAGAATGAAATCAAAATAAGGAATTTAAATGCAGAAATGTCCATGACCTACACAGTCAAGGGGATGACACTTGACTTCATAGTTTTACAAGACTATTGCTACTGATAAGGAAGCCAACTGTACTTTAAACAGGAATATAACTGCAAAGGTTTAACTTAAAAGTTTGGTATAAAATTTTAATTTTCTGAGATGCGCCTCTTTTTAAAGGCAGGGAATCTTAATTGCTTATGCAACTAGAAAAAATACTGTAAGCTAAACTGTAAGCTGAAAAATGACAGAAAATAAGCAGACATTAAAAAATCTAAAACTGCTGAAATTCTATTAAATAGCAGAAAACAAAAGTATTTAATCACCTTCGTGAAAAACAGCTGAAGTATGCTGAAGTCAACAACAGAAACATGGCAGACATGTATTAGCAGCAATCAGAAAAGTCTAGAAAGAAAGCAAAAACTTGAATATCTGGTTGAAGAAGAACGTGAGTAGTTTAAGGATAGAGCTTAAAATGTTAAAGAATATTGTACTGAATTGAGCATGGGGTTAAATTGTTTGTTTAAATGTCAAGAATTAGCAAAACAGAAATTCATTCAAATGTGTCAGTTGATCAACTTATGGAAAATGGTGTAATCTTAATTGGCTTTACAAGCCAAAGCCCCTAAAGGCAAGAAAGGCTATGAGAAGCAGACAAATGGGGGTGAAATACAAAGAGAGAGAGTTGATAAGTGACTGAATTTTCAAAAAAGTTGCTGCAATGTGGAAAATCGAAAAGCGTTTCACAATTCATGACTGAAAAAACATAGAGAAGCATAAAATATAGAAGCAAACTGGATAAAACTTACTGTTCAAACAGTTGCTGAGACGTGGGATTACTTAATAAATGTTGAAAACACAAGAAAGAACCTACAGTATAAGCTGAGGACACAACAAACTACATAAGAAGCTTGCATTTAAAGGTTTAATAAATGTAAATTATGGACAGGGACAGGAAAATTATTACAGAAATAAGCTGAAGTTGAAAGCAAAAACTGTGTAAGGAATTAGCAGAAAACATGCGTATATTGCCTTTCTGAAAAATAGAGGAAGCAGGCAGAAGCAAGTGGCAGGAACATGGCTGATTATAAATTAGAAAAAGAAACCCAAATCAAGCTGAACTTCAAAGAAACTAGACCATGCATCTGATACTTCAAGGCTGTACTATTGTAGGTCTTTATTATCAGGAAGTCCTCAAACTGTAGTTAAATGTTGTTCCAAAATGCTGCAGTCAGAGTTTTGATGAAAATTAAAAAGATTTTTATACTACCTAGCTTTCCTTGATGACTTCCTTTTAAATCAAGAATTCTTCTTTTCAGCTGTATCATACAAGTAAATAGTTAAAAATCATAGATTGTGATTTCTAGATATTTTAGATTATGACTCTTAGAGTGGACATGCAGCTACGATGACAATTTCAGACCCCTGTGGGAGAACTTCTAAATTAGCAGGGTGTTCAAATACTTATTTTCCTCACTGTATATTTCATATGAAAGGATATTCTAGAGACCCTCTTTGGTGTGGGATTTAAATGACCTGATCAAAAAAAGCTTTTTTTACTTTATCTGGGATCAATTTAATCCTGTCCAAATTAAGTGACTGACTAATACATTTTATTAAAGAATCTGTTCCACTTTTCATCTCATCCGTATCACTGAACTATACTGCAGAGTGCAAACATTTGATTTATTTCCCTTCAAATATTGAGGATTTTTTTCAATTGGGGTATCAGTTCTCTGTGTAATTCCTTTAGAAAAGTAGCCCCTTTGAAAAAGAAAAACTTTAAAAATAGAAAGCCGGCTCCATGTTTTAATAAAGAGGGGCACACTTTAAAGCACAATGCTGGGAAACTGGAGAGAAAATGGTGATCATAATGCATAAAGGAACCCTACCCAGTCTGGAAAAACTGTCAACTGTTGTATAAAAATACAATATGTGAAGTAATAGCAGCATTTGTATCTTCATTAATAGAAAATTGTAATTTTTTTCTCTTTAACACGGTTGCCAAAATCACCGAGAGCCATAGCTCTGTTGAACCTCCATCGCACCTGCTCTTAGCAGTAATGATTTTATGACATTCTTTATAAGATTGATTCTATTAAAAGTAAGATCAATAGCACTCACTTTTGATCCAGTTGAACTTTCAGAGTTAGCAAAACTATTGTCTTCATTTAAGCCTTCAACTTGTATGTTAGATCCAGTTCCAATCAGGTTATTTATGGAAGTATTCCCTTTGATCTCCTCCTTCATTTACTTTGATTGATGTGACTAATCTATCCATTACAGGCATATGTACCAAAGGCCTTTCAGTTAACAGTAATTAAACATTGAGAAATCGTCTCTTGACCCAAATCACTTGGTGAATTATGGATGTATCTAATCTTCATTTATTTAAAATTCTTGAGAAAATTGTTTCTAATGAGGTATGTGAGCACTTACACCAAGATGAAGTTTCTGGTTTTAGAGCTTTTAGAGCTCATCATAGCACTGAAACAGCTCTGATGAAAGTCACTAGTGATATTCTCATGACCTCAGATAATGGATTTATCTGTACTTTCCTGTTATATCTGCATTTGACAGGGTTCCTACAACATAGGGCAAGTTAAATTCAAGACTTTTTTTTTGTCCCTTGAAATAAAACTTTAAGACCAACTTCACAATAAACATAGGAAAACCTGGCTGCGACAAATGTAACCTGATGCTTATTCTAACATTATTACTTTCTGGCCCGGTAGAAATGTTTGCAATTTTGAAAATTTTTCCTTATAGAAAGAAAGCTAAAAACACACCAATAACTAATAAATGGAATTCACAAACTTTGTTTTGATCCCTACTCAAAGTTCATAATAGCTGTTTTCACTGTAGGCGTACCACCAAACATTATCCGGAGATTTGGTGCTACTGGTACTTTTGTTTTTTTACATCAGAGATGCTGTAGAGGCCTGTCAGAGACATGCGTGGAACAGAACTGAGAAATAGCTGCTGCTTCTCTGTAACTTGATTTTGTTGCTTTGTTTTTCCACTCTTCACGTCTGACCCCACAGCTTTGATTCCCATCGTGCCAAGCTTGAATGACTTCTTGCTTAAAATATGCCATTCCTCATATACATTACCTGGTACTGTTTTTAGCCATGCAGAAAAGTCTTGGCTGGATAGCCAATTTTCATTGAATTTCCATTTCCCCGTGTTATTGGCGAATCACCCCATGGTCTGTTTGCAACATTATTTTTTTAGGTTCTGCTGTCAGGATGGAACTAATAATGGTTACAGCTAAGCTGATTGGTAAATTTCAAAATATCATGAATCATTTTAATTTTTGATATGAATTCCAAAAATAAAATCGTATTTATGACTTGGTAAACACTTTAAGAAATACAAGACTGATTTAAGACATTTTAATACCAATTAAGGCCTTATTTTTATATTTAAGTATTCAATGCCTTTTAAGACTAAGGATCCGTACGAACCATTTGATAGTCATATCCTTTTAGTTAGAAGGGACAAAAGGAGGATAAATGAGGATTTGTCCTACAGTTCTTTTCTCTCATCGAATTCTGAGAGAAAAGAACTGTATGACAAATCCTTGAAAGGGAGGAAGTAATGGAAAAAGTCAAGACAAGAGGAAGGATTTAAAAAGGCACATTTGGAACATGGGATAAGGAATAAGGTCTGACAATGCAAATCTTACGTTTTATGGACAGTCATTAAAAATCCACGCTTATGGATGGTAAAAGGAAGCTACAGAAAACAATAGTTTAGCTCTTCAAACAGGCTTTATTATATAAAAGAAATCCTTGATAAAACGCTTGCAGGTCAGAGGCAAGATGCAACTGTTCTGTGAAGAAGAGGGAGAGACACGTACACCACAACACAAAAAAAAAAAAGATACAATACATGAAGGAACAAATTTAGAAAACATGAGCTCAATAGTAGTGAAGCAAACTAACTTTCAGTTCAAACTAATCTACATCTGTGGTGGCAAAGAATAAATCTGGACTTACTGACGAACCAAGATATATGTAAAAAAAAAAAAAAAAAAAACTGTTAGGCAAACAATGCTGCAATATACATTTGCAAAAAAACAGACTTATCATTTTTACGATAAACAGGTTTTTTTCCAGACACTTCACATTTTAAATTTACCCAAATGGGGGGAAATTTTGTAGAATGTTTCCAACGAAAATGAACCGATACTCTGTGAGGACGCAGCTCTCAGTCGCTGACATCCATGTCCTCTTCGTGGTGATCATCAGCGCCATTAACCTTGGCCTGCTTCATCAGCCGGGCTGAGCCGTTTCCCTCCACCGACTGAGGAGACATAGCAGAGTCATCTGAATCCTTCCTTTCCTTTTCGCTGTCGTAACCTTGTTCTTCTTCATCGTAATCTCGGGTGATCTGTACATTAAAACCAAGGTTCTATCAATATTTCTATGCAAACTGACAAAAAAAGATGCTTCAGTTCTCAGGATTTAAAACAAACCTTAATATCTCCTTTGTCTACATCCGATTTTCTTTCACGCTCCCGTTCTTTGTCTTTACTTTTCTTCTTCTTACTGGTAGAGCGCTCCCTTTCCTCACGAACACGTTCTTTATCACTCCTGCGTTCCCTTTCTCTGTCCTTGTCCCTCTTTTTTTCCTTCTTGTGCCTGAACAAAGAAAACCCCAAATGATATATTGAAACCAGGAACATACCTTCATGGAATATTTCAGTAGAACAGGATACGTTCAAACAAGGTTGGTACAATGGCCTTTATTCAAAATAAGGGTGACAGGATATGGGGTTAAGAAAGAGAGGATGGGGAAGACATGCTGCAATGGCCAACGGGGCAGGAGCATGATGGTCGCATTAAGGACCGAGACCTCCATACAATGGTCATACACTGATACTGTACAATACTAATTAAAACTGAAAACCTTAAAACAGAAGTTCACCAACCTTCGAGGGGATGGAGAGGGAGAAACTCTTCTTTTTGGAGATTTCTTTGGAGAGCGGCTGGCGCTACGACTTCTCCTGTGTCTCCTGAGATTTGTTTCATATTTAAATAGGGTATACAGGATGGAAGAGACAGAACAAAAAAAAAAGTTTTAAGGATTTTTACCTATAAAAGCACATTTCTCAAGAAAACAGCAATTAAACATGATCCAGTTATCTTCTATTTCAGGGGAAACCAATTAAAAATCAGCGCGGTCCGTATAAAGAAAACCAACCAGTAAAGGTGCGGAGACATTTTTAATTATAATATGTTACTTTAAACAGAATTTAACACTTAAATAAAAAGATTTTTATGCATCGATGTTACACATTGAATAATAATAATAATAAAAAAAAACGGAAATTTTTCCATTTTAAAATCTGAAGTGTTTTTTAAGTATAGAACAACAATCTTTAAGTTTGGTATATAGACAATTTCCTGATTCACATATTTTATAAAACACCTGTACCGACTGCCATTTTCTTTCTTTTTTATGGCTAAATGAGAGAAGTGGGCTTTATGCTGCCCAGCAAGGCTTTAAACCTGGGTTTGAATGGCAACAAAGCCATTCTCAGCATATATCAAGGTGCTCATTTTGAGCCTGGATTGATATTTTTGATTATGTACATGGTGGAGAATCCTGCTTCACAGCAGTAGGTTGAGCCAAACATGCTCAAAATGTGAAGGGTCATCTTTGAGCACACCATTTCATTTTTCTTTCACCAGTTCACAGCAGTCCTCACTTTCTCTGCTTTAGTTTCTCATCATCTTCTCCTTCTATCCCATCACCTGGCTTGCCACAGGTTTGCCTGCTGTATCTAAAAGTAGCTAGCAGCAACCCTGACTGACAGCTCATTGGCTAATTTGTTTCACATGAAGCCTGGTCCCAGCACTCTGGACAGCTTTACCATGTTAACAGGAGAAGCGGCGCAAGTGAAGTTAGACCCTGTCATCGGACAACATGAGGTAATTCATAAATGTTTTAAATCAGGTTGGGTCCCGATCGCAGTCCGCTAATCCGTGACCTCTGTTCTATACTATCATACCAGTAAGTATGATGGTACGCAATGGTTGTAAAAATGAACAGAATGTTACAATTGAAAGCCAACCTTCCTATTGCTATGCACTAACAGATGGCTGACAAAAAAAAAAAGTTTCTGCACTGCTAAACAGTTAAAACTACCACAGAACACGGATTGAAGGTGTTTATGTTTCAGCTCATATTTGTGCATTAAAGTCAAATGTTATTAAAACATTGGATCAATAAGGAAAGTCAATATATGAACAGCTTACAACAAAATACACAGGATAATTTTATCTGGATTTAGTATCCCCAAGGCAAGGTTTATGTTTAAGCTAAACCCATTTCTCAGGATTCTCATATTGATCTGTCACTAGTTAAATCTATAACTTAGAACAGCAGAGAAAGCAGGTTAGGTACAGTGATGTTCTTTAATGACGATTGAATTTGTTAGAAAGCAAAGCTCTCTGTAAGCACACAGAGGCAAATATGGCACCTGATTTAGCAGCTTTTTTTCCCCTTCAGACCAAAATGAGAAACACAGAGCTCCATTCACTACCATTAGATTTAGAAGTAGTTTTAAATGCTTGTTAAGTAAACAGGGATTGGTTTAAGCTAAGATTTTGAAAAGTCTCATTAAAAATCACCATAAGACATGTTCTCTATGTTATCAGCACACTCTATTCTAACTAACTTTCAAACTATAAAGCAGTGAGCTTTTTAAGGAAACCTCTAATTCCCTGGTAGTAAACTAATCAGGCTGCACTCACCGGCTCACACTACGTGACCTTCTGGCTGTGCTGTAGCTTTTAGGAGGCGTCTTAGATCTCCTCCTCCCAACATCCTCCTTCTTTCTGTCTCTGCATAAATGATATACCCAGATCGTGAACATGTTCTCCAGTTGCTTGTGTCAGACAGCATGGTCAGGGTGAAGCCCATGCACCAGAAACCCACCTTGATCTGCTTCGAGTTCGCCTGCCCCTGTCTCTGGAGTGGGTGTGTCTCCTGCGTGGGCTTTTGGAGCGCCTCCTGCTTCTCGAGCTGGATCTACGTCTTGATCTGCTCCTGGTTCGCCTGCGACTGAAGATCACAAGGATTAACTTATTTGTCAAAACACAGGAAAGGCACATCAATGTCAGCCTTCACCATAAAAGCCTTACCTGTGTCTGGAACGAGACCTGGATCTCCTCCTTCTGGATCTGGATCGAGACCGCGAATGCTTCTTTTTACTCTCTTTATCTGCAGAGAAATCAAACAATATCCAACTTAGACTCCTCAAAATACACCAGAGATTATTTTACACATATTTATCATTTAGATATATGAAAGCCAGGCAACAAAAAAAGGTATTTAGGCACTTACGTCCAGGCTCAATAGCAGCAGAAATTAGTGATTGGGCCTCTCTGACCCTCTTCATGGCCTCTTCTATCTCCTTATTGGACGCATCCGCCTTCAGGCTTGCACTCAGGTTTAATCCAGCCGCCAAGGGGTTCAGTCTGACAAAAGAAAGAGTTTACTAATAATCACTGGAGCCACTCCTTTTTTTTTTTGAGAATGTTTGATATCTTTGCACACTTACTTTGGATCTGTCATCATCTTCAGCAACTGATCAGCTGCCTGTGAGATGACAGAAGATTGTATTTAAATCTTCTTTTTTTTTTTATATATATATATAGTTGCAGAAGAATGTGGCATGCACTCTCACCTGTGGGTTCATATTGGGCCCAGCGAATCCAAAAGCTGCCATTGGATCTATGGTGGGAGCACCAAAGGGGTTGGCTCCAAGCTAAAAAAAAAACCAAAGACAAAAAAAGTTTTCATAATAAATTCCAGCCTGTTACATATTTCCTATCCGTAACACACACAACCATTTATAGAAGTTGTATATGTGGGGCAGGAAATATCTCAATGATGCACTGAAAAGGGCAGTCCTTGCATGGTATTCAATAACGATATTATTTAAAGAAAAACACAAGGTAATGCATAATTGTGAAGGAAAATATTGCATGGTTTTCAAATTTTAACTAATTACTTGTCACGCTGACATTAATGCTGATGGTTGCCACACTATCAATAACTACCTAATGAAATGTTTAAATATGTAATTAATAATTGAAACTTATACAGACCCAGGTTAAATATATTGGTTTTGTTTCATGAACAGTGCAAGCCCTTTAATCATATTTGTGCCTAAAAATAGATTGATGCGAGTAGAAAAAAATACAGATTTCCCCCCTTTCATTTACATTTTGATCCTACAATAAGTCTGACTTAAATAAGATATCAACTTGTATTTTATTAAAAATAAAGAAAAAGTAACTTCCAAAAAGTCAAATGGTAAATTTCTATGTGGAAAATGCTTATGAAACTAGTTATGAGACATTACTGTTGCCTTACAGATTTCTAGCAGCGACACCTAATGCAGCACAATACTGTGTACACATTTACCTCCTTATTTACACAAAAGCTTTGTTCACACTGCAGCCTGAAGTGACCCAAATCCGATATTTTTCTCCCACATGCGACCTGGAACTGATCATTTCATGGCTGTCTGAACCTCACAGATCCGATTTTTTCCAATCCGACCGAGACTACTTGGCTATGTGGTCCCGATTCTGATCTTTTCTAGTGCGACCTGTGTCTGAACGGCCAGGTCGGGATTCATCCGACCTGAACTTCATTAATACCCGACAAAGGTCACTATTCTGCGTCTTGCTACGCAGAATCGGCAAGAAAAGCAAAAACCATGGAAGATGATGATGCTGAGAGCAGTATTTATGTTTAACTATATTAAAAAGATTGAGTTTTTTGGGTTGGGAAAAGATCACTAGATGCGCGCCGGCACTACCATCCATGCTTACTTCCGTAAACAGAGCACGCTGGCCTGTGACGTCATTGCGTCCTCCACTGCGCATGCGGGAAACTTGTATGACTGCAGTTCACACAGGAGAGCACATACAAGCCGCATACAGTTGGAAATATGAAAATCGGATTTCACAAAAAAATCGGAATTGAGCATCAAGGCCTGCAGTGTGAACGTAGCAACAAACAGAAGAGAAGCGTAGTGAAAACATGAACGCCACAGTATTAAGTTTGCAATCAGCTCACAGAGGCGTGTTGCAGTCCTGACAACAGATAGCAAGTTTTTTTTTCCCAAAAAGCTGAAAAACAAAACAAAAAAACTCCCCCCTGACAATGTTTACGTTATAGCACTTTTAGAAATACCCTGACTTTTAATGAGTGGGCTGCAGAAACTGTGTTTTAAATCACATTATTTCTTTGTTAATACATAAACATAAGAGAAGCGCTATGAAAAAGTGAACCCTGCGGCGGACTTCCATCATCTCACTGAGGTAGGTGAGCAAAGTGCAGCCTGTTTCTGCAGTCAGAGGGAAAAGAGAGACCCTCTGTTTCCCCACGGAACATGAGCCATACATGCCCAAAGCCTCCATTGAGCTCCCTGAATTAAGAAGAGGGATGTAAATAAAATGATTTGGGTTTTTTTAATCTGTTGCACTAAAATTTATTCTCCCTGCATTTAGTTCATACATGGTTTAATCCAGTGTGTGCCTCTGTTAATTGCCTTTCAGCTGAATTTGATAACATAAAATTGAACACTAGTGCTCCTGGTGAAAAAGGAAACTGAACATCACTGTCGGTTATGCCTTAAAACCCATGTATCCTTATTTATAATCAAGCATTTCACCGTAAATTAAATCCTCCAAAGTAACAGTAAGGTCTGTGGATGCATTGTGTGAAAACTGAAGGTGTGTGAAGACTTGTCAAATGTGGCGTAAAATCTCTGTGTGTGTTCATATAGTAATATTAAAGAGAGGATGACTTACAGCTGCATTTGGAATAGGATTCGGTGTCGGGAGAAGGCCTCCGCCTGGCAAAATCCCTGCAACAGCATTTGCTGGGGCCAAGAGGGACAAAGCCTTAGCCTCATCTGGAATAGATCCTACAGCAAAATAAAAAAACAGGCATTAGAAGAGAACCCCAACACGTTTGGAAAATTCATAAAAGACGTTCTGAAAAAGGAAAAAAAAAAAAAAAAAAAAAGAAGAAAAGTCTTCTCACTGCATTTCTTCAAATTAGGTTCAACAAAGTGGTCACTTACAGATCAGTGTTCCCTAATTCAAAAAGTAATCATTGCAGTGACTTAACTATTGCTGGAATAAATCACACTATTCCAATGAACACTGCCAAGAATATATCACCTGAATGTGTTTTTTAAGTCATGAACCAAACGTTAGCAAGCACATCGGCTTCTCCAGTTGGGTGTGCCCTCAATTTTCATTTAGATGCTTACTGAAACAAGCGACTCACGCTGGCGGCTTCGCTACTAAAAGCACACAGAGAAAAATCGAGATACACACAACAGAGAGAATTTTAAGGATTTGGCAGGAAAACTAAAAAAAAAAAAAGCTATCAGTGTCTACTTACCAAAAACACATTTCAGAGGATTAATTGGTAAGGCTAAATGATAAAATTCAGGGTAGGTAGCGTACCTGCAGTACATCATATGCTATGAAAATCCTTACCTCACACTGCATCACTTAACCACACCATGGCGGGGATGAGGTCTCAAATTATTTTTGCTACTATAATAAAACTTCTTTTTTAAATTAATTTTTTTTTTTTTTTTTACAGCTTTTAAGCTTTACATAAAATACACAACAGCTTTATTTTTTTACTTTTTAAATGGCGCAAAATCCAAAACACCTCATCATTTGTCTCAACCCATTCACAAATATCACATCACCTAAATTGGGACACAACAGGGAAAACATTTAAACAAAAGAACACACTGGAGAGAGAAATTGCTGCAGGACACAAAACTGTTGGATGGTATTTTCTGCAGGGTCTGGTATACAGGACTGGCTGAGCCAGGAAAAAGAACTGTAAAACACAACAACAAAACAAAAAAAGACCACTGTTAAAAGAGAATATTGCACCAGCATTGTCATGTGGGTTGGATATTTCAAACAATTATAACAAGGAGGAGTTTTATCAGCAGTGACAACAGGCATCCAGTAAATAAAAACAGTTACCCTTTTCGAAGTCCCACTTTAGCTCGCACTGAAAGAATAGTGTTATCTTAATCCACATTTATGTTAACACTGCCCTTTTCTATCAAACCAAACTAAAGCCATTTCAGGGACAACATTATAAGCATTTATGTATCTCCATTATAAAACAGAGCCACAGTGATGCTAAAGTATTTAGATCATGTAATTAGTATACCTCTTTCTGTACCATCTTATACATTTGCAATGGTTATCAATAAACTGAAGACGTGTACATAAAGAGGCTAGTGACTGGAATCTCAAAAATAAAATGTTGAGCTGCTGGCAAGAAAAATCAATAATCACGTTTTTTTTTTTGATCGGTGATCAAAGTATATATAAGCTCTAGGAGTTCTCGTCTCTGAGCCCGTTCACACTCTTTAGTGTGGAAGGTTTTAATAAAGATCAGACATTACAAGTTAAATTTTTCTGGCAGGGAAGTGCAGGTTTTTAAATACAATTTTACCCAGAAGTGTATTTGCTGTTCAGCCAGGCTAAACATCAGAGAACTTCACAGAAAGTGTTTCAACATTGTCAGGTATAAAAAAACTAATCAAAAAACAGAAAATAGGGGGGATTCCCTGTAGAATATATATCAAAATGGCAACCTAGTATGTTGGGCTAACATCGTTAATCAGGTTAATTATTGATACAAAATTTTAAACACAGTGGAAAAATGTCAACTATGCAAATCGTCTTGTTTTTTCGTTTGGTCTTTTGCTTTGTATTGTCAATGCTCTCGCACATGTGGTGTGCTACAGAGCTGATTTTAAATATTGTTAATTTAGATGGAAAGCCAATACATGGATTGACTAAAACTGATACTGGCACTACAAAAAAACAAGCCATAAATGCCCTTGCTGCATATCTAACACAAAAGGAACAATGTCTGGTTAGGGCCATTAAGCTGTGTACTCTGACACACTATTGATCCTTCAAGTTTTTAGAATACAGTGACCTTAACGGTATCATCTGCTTTGGTCACAGTGATTCTAAACATTTTTGTTAGTTATGTCATAATGAATACTGTTGACAAAAAGAGTGTAACTCCTTTTTATCAGTATCATGAATGGCCAAGCAGCACTTTAAAGAGGTTGAACACATTGCATTTTACGCAATGCTTTTATAAGAACGCATTTAAATCTGACCTTTACACTCTAAACCATTTTAAATAAGAAAGGAAGGAAAGAGAAAGTCCAGGCAGAGACAGAATAGAGGACAAAATAGAGGGGTTGGGCTTGAATGCTTGCTGGCCTTTGCAAATGTCTACAATTCCCTGTTGGCAGGCAGACGACCATCAACGAGGGGGCTGCTTTTGCCTTCTTCACTACAAAAACCACACACACAACACACACACATACACACACAAATAACAGAGAGAGGTTTAACAGCGAATAATCCAATATGGGGGGAAAAATGTACATATGGTGATGTGCTTATTCTACTTGGTTTCAGAACTCTGGAGTGTCTGCAGAGGCTGCTGCTGGGAAATGTTCAACTCCTTGAGTGTAAAGCAGATTTTGCTACATCATTGTTCTTACAAACGGCACCTGTTAACTTTAGACAGGGGAAAAAGAACAAAAAACTGATAAGCCAAAGATATAAACCCAACAAGGCAACTACAACTGCATTGTGGTGTTACCTCGGTCTATCCGAGGAAATAAAAGAAATCTGCTTTACACGCCATTTTACTAACCAGAAAACCTGCAGTTTCTGTTTCATTCAATCTGCCTTAAAATAGTATGGAAACAAAACAAGATAAGTTGAGGTGAGGAGATTGAGTCCATTTTACATGTTTACAACGTTACTCTTCACAAATGGTGACATTCACTCAAAAGGTGAACAAACAAACGAGCAGTGACGAGACAAACCTTCAGCAAACGGGACCACGATCAAAGCTCTATCCACAAACACTGTATTGGTGAGATGCTGAGACACTCCCACAGACTCTGGCTCCTGGAACTTCACAAAGCAGACTCGTGATGTCACTGGCATAGGAGAATCACTGTGAAGGAAACAAATTTTAATAGTTACATTGTTAAAAAAAAACAAAAAAAAAACATCAGAATTGTCACCTCTGGTTATCTGACAATTAAAATACAGTTTAAAAAAAAAAGTATAAATGGGTAATATCTTTATTTTCAATAGGGGAGTTGTGGCCTGGTGGTTAGGGCATAGAGCTTGGAATCCTGAGGTTGAGAGTTTGAAACCTACTCCCACAGACTGCCACCCCGGCTCCCTGAGCAAGACCCTTAAACCCACACTCCAGGCACCCCACTGCTCCCCAAGGGGGAGGGTTAAATGCAGAGTTAATTTCCCAAATGTGAGACCAATAAAGTTCATTTATCTTATTTAATATTTATAAGAGATATAATTTCCTCAAAATGATAAAAGCTATACATTCAATCTAAAAGTGTGTTTAAAATGTCATATAAGCAGACTTTAAAAGACAAATGTTTACCAGCATGGTTATATCTTTTAAGGGGATTTCTGCCTCGGATTTGGAGCAAAATTTTCCCAATTATAGATTTATTAAATTTGTTTAAAAAAATAAATAAATAAATAAACGTTTTTTCTGCAAAAAGATTTGCGGTTATATTTAGAGTTTTGTGGGCGCATCTGCAATGTTTATATTTTAAAAAGAGCGGTAACTTTCATACAATTGACGAATCGGTAACTAGCTTTAGCCGTGTGCTCTGGTTAGCATGGGGCCTGTATTTCCGTTACATAAAATGCAGCACGTTAGAGTTGCTACGGTAAAATTTGGAGTTCCTACAAACATGTACTTTTATTATCTTTGACACAAACGTGTAAATAGGATGTTAAACGACCAACTCACTCTGGTGGAAATAGCTTCAGTTCCTCGATGGTGCCCAGAAAACCAAACAACGTCCTCATTTGTTCCGACGTTGTGCTCGGCGACACATTGGTCACCTGAACCACCCGCGTCGTGTAACTCATTTTCGACACAAGTACCGTTTTTCAATAACAAAAAAATTATATCCACAAAGGTTAACCGACTGTAGCGCCTATTCGTTTCTCATTAAAAAGGTTTCTGCGATAATAACCAGCAGAGCAAATGTTAGACATCGACTAGAAGAAGAAACGTCTGCTGGTGGACACCGCAGCCATGTTGGATAATTCTTGAATTTACTGCGCATGCGTAGAAGGAGCGGCGTGCATTAACACCAGAAACGATAAACCAGCTCTACTTTATTCATTTTTGTTCCCTTTTGTATTTGCTTGTTACTTTTTTGTAAATTTGGGAAAACAATAAGTAACATCAATCGGCATACTAGCCTATCCAACGCCTGTTTGGACTATAGCAATATTACGTAATAGAAGAAAAATAATCGCCCCTATTGACCTACAGAGGGCGCCTTTCTTTTAAAGCGTTTCCATGAGTAATTGATTAACTTTTATATCTGGTTTTAATGACTGTTTCAATTTCTAATATAATATTTTATGACAATTGATCAAGGTTTAAAAGTTGATTTAATCTTTTTTGGGTGTCTCAGGTTTTGACTTTTAAGCCTACAGGTCCTTCTCAAAATATTAGCATTATTCATTATTGTCCATAATTTAATGATAAAGCTTGAACATTCATATATTTTAGATTCCTCACACATAATATGAAATATTTCTGGTCTTTTATTGTCTTAATATGAATGATTTTGGCATACAGCTCATGAAAACCCAAAATTCCTATCTCACAAAATTAGCATATTACATCCGACCAATTAAAGAAAATAAAAGTGTTTTTAATACAAAAAAGTCAACCTTTAAATAAGTATGTACAGTTATGCACTAAATACTTTGTTGGGAATCCAAGGAGGCAATCAGCCTGTGGCACTGCTGAGGTGTTATGGAGGCCCAGTATAGTTCGATAGCGGCCTTTAGCTCATCCACAGTGTTGGGTCTTGTGTCTCTCAACTTTCTCTTCACAATATCCCACAGATTCTCTATGGGGTTCAGGTCAGGAGAGTTGGTAGGCCAATTAAGCACAGTGATACCATGGTCAGTAAACCATTTACCAGTGGTTTTGGCACTATGAGCAGGTGCCAGGTATCCCCATAAAGCTTTTCAGCAGATGGAAGGATGAAGTGCTCCAAAATCTCCTTATAGCTAGCTGCATTGACCCTGCCCTTGATAAAACACAGTGAACCAAAACCAGCAGCTGACATGGCACCACAGACCATCACTGACTGTGGGTACTTGACACTGGACTTCTGGCATTTCCTTCTCCCCAGCCTTCCTCCAGACTCTGGCACATTGAGTTTCAAATGACATGCAAAATTTGCTTTAATCCGAAAAAAGTACTTTGGACTATTGAGCAACAGTTAACTGCTGCTTCTCTGTAGCCCAGGTAAGGCACCTCTGCTGCTGTTTCTGGTTCAAAACTGGCCTGACCCGGGTTAAGCAGCACCTGTAGCCCATTTCCTGCACACGCCTGTGCACGGTGGCTCTGGATGTTTCTACTCCAGGCTCAGTCCTCTGCTTCCGCAGGTCCCCTAAGGTCTGGAATCGGCCCTTCTCCACAATCTTCCTCAGGGTCCGGTCACCTCTTCTCGTTGTGCAGCGTTTTCTGTCACACTTCTTTCTTCTCACAGACTTCCCACTGAGGTGCCTTGATACAGCACTCTAGGACCAGCCTATTCATTCAGAAATATCTTTGTGTGTCATACCCTCTTGCTTGAGGGTGTCAATGATGGCCTTCTAGACAGCAGTCAGGTCGGCAGTCTTACCCATGATTGGGGTTTTGCGTGATGAACCAGGCTGGGAGTTTTAAAGGCCTCAGGAATCTTTTGCAGGTGCTTAGAGTTAATTTGTTGATTTAGATGATTAGGTGCATAGCTCGTTTAGAGACCTTTTTCATGATATGCTAATTTGTGAGATAGGAATTTTGGGTTTTCATGAGCTTTATGCCAAAATCATCCGTATTAAGACAATAAAAGACCTGAAATGTTTCAGATAGTGTGCAATGAATCTAAAATATATCAATGTTCATGTTTTATCATTACATTATGGAAAATAATGTACTTTATCACACAATATTTTGAGAAGGACCTGTATTCCTTAATTTGTCTGCTATGAAGTCAGACAGACATTTTGCATTTATAATACTTTAATGTAAATAGAAAGGGAAATTACCTGAGCTGAAAAGTGTGGAATCAATATTTGTTTTATCTATTTTTCTTTTATGGTAAAATCCAAAGCAACAAGTGGGCAAATCAGTAAATACACATGTATGCAATTTAATCTTAGTGTGTGAGGGCCTCAGGTTTTGTTTGATAATATAAAATCTCCATAAATACAGAGAAACCAGACTAATCAGAGGTAAAACAGTTTATGTTTAAGGTATAAAACCGTGTCCTTTGGCCATCTCACAGAGCAGTGTTCAATCAATTAAATTAAAAGTAGCAGCTTTTTCTTCCATTGGCACCTTCTTCTTCTCAGTTGTCTATATGAGCTGATGTAACGAGTACATTTCTCCACTGTGAGGTCAATAAAGTCAATCGATCAATTAATCAAATTGGTAAATAATTGCAAAGCTTCTCGTTTAAAACTACACTACACATTTTGATCTGATTTAGGAGTCTTACATAATTGAAGCAACCAAAAGATTTTAATTGTAACTTCAGATAAACTGCAGAGATACACATTTCAAATGAGTATAAAGAAATACATCAATTTTTTCTTAAAAAAACAAGCAAACTGCAGACACCGCGGTTTGAATCTATGCATGCTGGGTTCAAGAAACATGTGATGGTAGGGGCCCTTACCAGAAAAGACTAAAGTATAGTATGTATTGTATAACAAAATAATAATTAATTCATTATCCCTACAATGATGAAGGTGGTAACAAAGTATAGCTTCAGAGGGGTTTGGTATAAAGGATTACTAGGGAAGAAATGGGATAACTTCTGCTTGGCACTGAGGGTGAAAACAAATCTTGTAGGAGCAGCTTAGCTTTGGGTAGATTTGTCAAAACAAACCAATGTTGTTGCCCAGAATTTTTCACTTAAAAGGCATGTGAGCTATTATGCACAAACCACGTCACATCAGTGGCTCCGGTGAAACTTTGCTTTTTTTCTCATAGTGAGTTTTGTTCCCAGCAGGAACAATGCAGCCTCTGTTTCATGTCTAATCCCTAATGCTGGATTATTCTGCACAGAGGTCACATATTGCTAAATGGAACCAAAGAACAACTGTGCACGTTTTACCTTATTAGCACTATATCCTATATCCTTGCAAAGTACAATAAATCATTTTCATATATTTTTTTCTAGCATTTAATTCAAAAATTTGATCTACAATAAAAAGTCAGTGATAATAAAATATGTTTAGAAAATGAAAGCTGAAGTCTGAAAGCTTATATTTCCTAAACATGCAATAAGTGCTGTCAATGAGCAGAAGTTTTAGATGCTTATAATATATATATATAAATTATAAAACATCCACACTTTAAGTTGTATTGCTAAACAGTTCAAGTTGATGGAGTGCAAAGAAAATAATGTGTCTTTCAACATAAGCTCACACAGTTTTTCAGGTTGATGAGGAGAAATCACATGCACTATTGCCGCATTTTTTTCCAACCATTGTTTTCTGCAATACACATCCTTCTCAATAAATCCAGTTAGCCATCGTGGGGGATATTGACACAAAGGGATTTTTGTTCAAAGTATTCCATGATTGGTCAGGGGGAAGATTAACAAAGCGCCACAGCTATCGTGACGTTGAGCGGGCAAATAAATACCCAAAATCCACTGGGAGATCAGAGGCTTTCGGCTCAGAAGTCTTCAACAGTTTTGAAAACAGTTTGTGTGTTTCTACAGAAGACGGAAAACATGGTCAGCAGGTGAGTTTCTAAACTAAATGCTGTACCACCTAAACAGGGGCACCTCTTTTTTTTTTTTTTTTTTTTCATAAGAAAAAGTTGTTCTGTGCTTTCATATTTGAATATTTATTGTGTGGGACAAAACCTTAATATGCATTGCTACTCATTGTGTGAACTTCAGTTGAGTTTCTTGCTGTATTGTGTTTTTTTGTGCCATTAAACCATAACAGATTTGAACACCCAGCTGGTAGCTACAAGAAAATCTTTGAGACATGTGAGGAGCTTGCTGAACCACTGCCTGCAACAGTCACAGGTTTATTTTCATGTTTCATTCAAATATCAGTTCATCTTTCAGTATATGTTTTTAACCAACTGATTAAAAAACATTTCTTCTTAATACACAGGTAGGATTCCCTCCTTTCTGAAAGGGAGTCTTCTCCGTTTAGGACCTGGGCTCTTTGAGGTTGGAGATGAACCCTTCTATCACCTCTTTGATGGGCAGGCCCTTATGCACAAATTTGACTTCAAGAATGGCCAAGTCACTTACTACAGGAAGTAAGACTTTGGACCCAAAACCTTAGCCTTTTCATGTTCAGCATATTTGCAGCATTCACAATAATTAGAATCTATGTATGGAAATTGAAAAAGTGGATAATATAAATGTTGGTATGCAGCATTACTCTCTGAGACAAAACATCATTTTTTTTTTTGCATCAGTAAAGTATATTCCCTGCCAGTTTTTGTCTTTGAGTTTATTTTATATTTAAGCATTAGCTTAATCTTTATTTCATGCTTGTTTTACTTCTTGTGTCTGTCAGGTTTGTCCGAACAGATGCATACGTGAGAGCCATCACAGAAAAACGAGTGGTCATCACTGAGTTTGGAACATTTGCCTACCCAGATCCCTGCAAAAATATCTTCTCCAGGTTGGTTTCATATGCAGATGTTCTCTTTAGTCAATTCTAGAAGATGATTGTTGCATCACATTTATATCATAATAGGTGCTTTCACCTTTTTTTTTTCTTTTTTTTATTTGCAGGTTTTTTTCTTATTTTAAAGGAGTTGAGGTCACAGACAACTGTCTGGTCAATGTCTACCCTATTGGAGAGGATTTCTATGCTGTGACAGAAACTAACTACATCACTAAAGTGAACACGGATACATTGGAGACCCTGAAGAAGGTATCTTTGAGTGCAACTTATTCTTAAGCTGGTATAAGCTCAAAAATAATAATACAAAAAAAAAATATTTGAAAAAAAAATCCTATTCAAGTCAGTAAAAGATTGAAAATTAATTACAGTACTTTTCAGTTATGGATGAGTTGACAAAAGAAAGTAAGTTATGAAAGGATAACATTTTTGGTTTTATTCCATATCCAATTGTATTAAAGTTGTATAGTTTTACCATCCATCCATCCATCCATCCATCCATCCATCCATCCATCCATCCATCCATCCATCCATCCATCCATCCATCCATCCATCCATCCATACCTCAAGAAATATATGGATTTTAGATTTTATTTCACTCAGGGAGCTTGTAATTATTTTTTCCCATGTAGGTTGACATGTGCAACTACATAAACATCAATGGAATCACAGCTCACCCCCATATTGAGCCAGATGGCACTGTATATAACATTGGAAACTGCATGGGAAAAGGTGCAACACTGGCCTACAACATTGTGAGGATTCCTCCCACCCAGAAAGGTTTGGATCAGCACCCTTTTAAATGAACGTCAAATGTATTATTTTCATATAAAAATGGTTTAAAGTGCATTTTACAACTGTATTAACTTCTATTAATGAAACCGGGATGACAGAACGTGTTGTAGTAACTCTGGTTAATAGTCATAGCCTGAATTACGCTAAGAAGGGAGTTTCTTTTAGCCCCCTCCAAAGGATTCCCAGCTTAACACGATAGGGCGGCTCAGTGTCGCTATGATCCACAGGGTCTATGTTTTCTCAAACCTATGTTTAACCCAAAAGTTTATATGCCTGTTTTTCCTCAAGAGAATGGACAGATAATAATTTACCATGTGGTAGACTCCAATATCTGACTAAACTTACATGCTTTTCACATCCCGGGTCATAGAGCCAGGGCTGGCCCAACCATTATGGATTTTTAAAGTGAAACAAAGTGGATTGTATTTTACTGCACTTCAAAGCAATGATAGCTTTAACTCTGATGTCAACTTTCCTTCCTTAGATAAGTCGGACCCTATAGAAAAGTCCAAAGTCGTGGTGCAGTTTCCAAGTGCTGAGAGGTTCAAGCCGTCTTACGTGCACAGGTGGGTGAATTATTTATTTTCTCTTTTTTGCTCTTTGAGTTGTTTGTTCTCAACACTTTGTTTGTAAGATGCAGGTTCTTAAACTGTATTTTCCAAAACCACAGCTTTGGCATGTCAGATAACTACTTTGTCTTCGTTGAGACCCCAGTGAAGATAAACCTGCTGAAGTTCCTCAGTGCTTGGAGCATCCGAGGTTCCAACTACATGGACTGTTTCGAGTCCAATGAAAGCCAAGGAGTAAGAGTTAAAACTAAATAAAAACATACTGGCTCATCTTTTCTCCTCCAAATGGTTTCATCTATTTTAATGTTTCCTTCCCAGACCAATTTCCACATTGCCAAGAAAGACCCTGGAGAGTATATCGACCTTAAGTTTAAAGGAGCGGCAATTGGAATGTTCCACCACATCAACACCTACGAGGACCAAGGGTTCATTGTTGTTGACCTCTGTGCATGGAAAGGGTAATTACAATCAATTTCAAACTTTGCTTCACCTGAAGGTTGAAAGTGTTTTTGAAACTGGCATGTTCATACATGTCACTTATACCCTTTCATGTTTCCATTGTCTGTTGGTAAAATGACACTGGAAATACCTTTTGACTAACTTTTAGCCAATAAATACCAAATAAGCATGGCAAAACGAAATATTACTATCATAAATGTTCAACTTAAAAGTCAATATTGACCAAATTCTCTAGGGATCGTTTCGGTCATGTATCGGAGGAGCAGCTCTGTGCAAAAACAGATCTCTGTAAAGCCTGGTACTAGCAGCCTGTAAGCAGTAGCGGTCAGTGAGTGTAAATCTCCCTTTCATCTAGATTTGAATTTGTTTACAACTACCTGTGGCTGGCCAATCTGAGAGCCAATTGGGAGGAGGTAAAGAAAGCAGCCATGATGGCCCCACAGCCAGAGGTGCGGAGATATGTGATCCCTCTGGACGTTCACAAGGTGTGCCATCAGACAATCAAAAACCTGCCTGCAGTATGTAAAATACTAATAGTTGTTTAGTTCTCACCAACCATATTATGGACTTGATGTAGGAGGAGCAAGGGAAGAATCTTGTGAGTCTGCCCTACACCACAGCCACAGCAGTCATGCATGCTGATGGGATGATCTGGCTGGAACCTGAGGTGCTCTTCTCTGGACCTCGCCAAGGTGCCACTATATATTTTTTTCAGTACAGTCATATTGCAGATATTTCAGTGCTTCTTTATTTTCTTAAACTTCTTTGTTCTGGGGGGGTTAGCCTTTGAGTTTCCACAGATTAACTACCAAAGGTATGGAGGGAAGAACTATACATACGCCTATGGACTGGGACTCAACCATTTCATACCAGACAGGGTAAGAGATTAAAACATTAGAGCTGAGAACGAGTAACTTAAACAAGCCTTTATACTTGACTTTTTTCCTGATTTATGCTCAGATCTGCAAACTGAATGTAAAGACCAAGGAGACCTGGGTTTGGCAGGAGCCTGAATCTTATCCCTCAGAACCATTGTTTGTTCAGACTCCTGATGGGGTAGATGAAGATGATGGTAAGCCTGCAGAAAATAAATTAAATAACTATTTACATTATTATACTATACCGAGAGAAAATGTGTGGAGTGGTCTTGTTAAACAAATCTGGTATCTGGTGTCTTCACAGGAGTCCTCCTTACCATCGTGGCGGCGCCTGGTTCCCAGAGGCCAGCATATATGCTCATTCTGAACGCCAAGGATCTGTCTGAGATTGCGAGAGCAGAAGTGGAATGCTCCATTCCCGTCACCTTTCATGGGATGTATAAACAGTGACGTTCCTGTCCAGTTTTATAAAGTGCATAACAACAACGATGAGAATAAAATGCATCCCTATGCCAAAGGGATAGACAATAAACAATAAAATATTTTGAGAGAATAAAAATGAATGAATGAAAATTTGTTAATAAAGCCACATTATTATACATATGAAGATGTGTTAACAAAAGAGTTGTCTGTTTCTAAAACTAACTATTAAAAAAATTGCTTTTAGTAAATAACATTTTGGTGTTGAATTTCTAAACATCTAATACTGTAGAATATATGATGCTATTTACTTTTCAAACCAGCTAAAAAAGGGGTTATGTGGTGCATTGCTTGGCAGCTTTACTTGAGTGTTATAGCATTTTCCCACTTATAGGGCTCCTTGTACGCTATGCAAATGTCTAACCTATTTTCAGATTAATTCAGCCAACAGTTAGGTATGCCAAACATACGGCAGGAGCGAAAAAAATGAGCTTTAATATAATAGTTTTCTTCTAAAACAATTCATTATCAGTAAATCTATATCCATTTTCTTTTCATTGGAAATTTGCATTTTAGTACAAGCATTTTTTTGGTGCTTAGCTTAAGTATCTCTCTTGTATTACGCTTAAGGTATACACTTTAAATTCTTCATCTTAAACATTGAGTTAAAACCTTATAAAATCTGCTAACTGGTCACTTTTACTCCAGTGTTGCTTGAATCTGATCCTAAAAGATAAAGCATGTCGATCTTGCAACCCTATACTGTACAAGCCAATTGAGTATTTATCATGAAAAAAAAACATTTTAGGAGTAAAATATTCTTAAGGTTAGGGGGAATATTTCCTCTTGAATGCTGAACGGTTAATTATGGTGTTGAACATTGACACAGTTTGCAGAATTGTATCCCTGCTGATCATCAATTTGGCAGATAAACACAGTATACCAATCAATAAGTAATTTAACTGAAACTATTGGTTTGCACCAAACTGACCAATTATTGGATGAAAAGTTCAGAAGTCCCACCGCTGTATTACATTTATGACAAATCAAGAACATAATCAAATCTCACGTTTGCATTAATCATTTTAGAAAGCTGTGAGATCAAGAATGGCCAAATACCAATAAGAAACATTAAAAAGCAAGGAACACATGCGCACTTCCAAAATAAAATAAAAAAAAAATTCTTCTTTGATTCTCAACAGTAAAAAGTGGAAAAATCATAGTACACCTCTGTCTCATTTAAAGAGACGACTTTCTAATTATATATGAAATATATAGATCATATCACAAGATGAACCTGTTCCATAATGATGAAAAACAAACAATTCAGTTAGATGCTGTAAAATGATTTTCCTAAACAAAACACAAAGACAACAAAGGAGAGATTCTCAGAAGCTATTCCATTTAGAACAAAGCAAACCATTTTTTCTTCTTTAATTTCACTCTTCATCTATAGTTGATATCTCTGCTGTGGTCAGTCTTCCAATATGAATCCTTCACAGTCTGTAAAAAAAGAGAGCTTCATACCTGCTATTACCTATTATTGTTAAAGACAGGTTACTTGACATCTATCAATCAAACTTTTTACTGTCAAACTTTTAACTTCTGCCTTCAATGTCCAGATTGTTCCATAAAACACATTCAACCTGAGCCTAAACGAAAAACTCAGAAATTGCTGAGTTTACATACAACAAAAAACACATTTATACGTCTATCATGTAGAGACAAGGACAGTAAATAAAGTCTAGAAATGCATTTTCCTCTTACTTTCTTTTTTCTACCATTATCAATAGATCTTAAAAAACATTTTACAAAATCCCAAATCCATTTTTTTTCCAGATTGAACTGAAATTTTGTTTCCAAAACTTGGATACCACAAGGATTTGACATATATTTAAGTCAAGCATGCCTTTGTGTCTCAGGTCTTAATGGTTATTCGTAACAATATTCCTCAGCCTACGATAGGATTTAAAAAAAAAAAAAAACAATAACTGGTTGTAAACAATAAACTGTATTGTGTATTTTGTCTCGTCTGCATGCAATCACAATTTTTACATTCATGCTACACATTGCCTCTGAAATTTGGTCAATTATTCTCAAGCTAGCACCTGAACTAAACTTTTAGTAGGTATCAGCAAGACTAGATGTGTTTTTCATGATTCGTGCAGTTAGTGTAAATTTCTCTAGATTAGCAAATGTCTTTCCCAAAACCAGTTTTGAGACTTTTGAGTCTGATGCTGTTGTAACACACATGTATTAATACAGAGAAATAGAGTATTTGATTAAATGTTTAGAAAGAGTCCAGAAAAAAAATCAGGGGACTGGAAAACTAGAGAAACTCCTAAAATAAAGTAAGATTCACAACACAAAGGACTGAGAGGGTGCAGACAAAAAAGGTCTACATTGGAAAGGTTCCAGCTCTGCTGATATTTTCTGCTACTCAAATGGGAAAAACCAAAATGTTTTTGGGATACAAGTTTTATTGTCTGATGGAACAATTAAAGAGCTTTTTGGCCTTATCAATAGAAGGCAGATCAAAGATTTTCAAACTTAAAACCACTGAAAAGACACTGTGCGTGTCTCGAGCCTGTAACATCATTACTTACCCCTCGCACCCCAACCCTGGACTGTTCTCCCTGCTCCCCTCTGGGAAAAGGCTTCAGAGGATCCGATGCAGATCAAGCAGATTCCAGAACAGTTTCTTCCCCACTGTCATTAGACTGCTGAACTTTGTGTAAAATGGGTTATTTTATTCATAAAAAAAAATGTTTAGAACTGTAAATATACAGTCATTTGTTTATATTACAATTTTTTATATTTGTATTACTGTTTTTGCACTTTAAAAAAATGAAATTGTCTAGAGCCGTTTTAAACTAAATTTCTTGCTATTTTGCTGCAAAACAAGTTGCTTGCAATGAAAATGAATCAGGGTAATTTAAACAAACAGATTTTATATATGTACACTCAGTTTGGTGTCTTAGAATTACATTATTGAAATGGTAGTAAAAAAAAGTTGATATTTATGGCCAACAGGTTCAAACTTCTAGTTCTTACAGTGGCTGAATTCTAGCAGCAGCTTTAAGAGATCCTTTTTCAAAATATAAAACTGCACAAAGCAGTGCTGCTGGTTATTTATATCTGAAAAAACATTGCAAGGTTGGGTCTACTGTGTAATGTACTAATATGGAAAGTATTCAAGTGCAAATATGAAAAGAATTTGCAAAACAGTTCTTATACTTCACACAGAAACTGGATGTAAGCAGCAAAAATTAGGGATTACAATTCCAAACGGGTCCTTGTTCATTTGCTAGACTAGAGCAACACAGAGCCCTGATTGTATAGTCACGCTTCTCACTCCACTGCCAGATTTGAGGATTGCATTAACCAAAGGCTCAGCTATTGAGCACTTGCACATTGTGTAATGTTGCAGGTTTGTAATCAGTGTAAAATATTTAGCCCCATGAGCATGAATATGTCCATTGTATATTGGGTTTTTTGCTAAATTTTAAAGGACTATAAATAGTCTAAATAAAAACCACAGATGGTTTCTCTCCAATTTATTGTTTACACAAGGACTTAGCCTTTCAAAGGGACAGAAATAAAGTGATTACAATTCAAAGGTTCAGAATAAACTCAAAACTGAAAAACAGTGAAAGTAAAGCTAAAGGAAATCATTACATCTCAGTTTTACCTCCTACACCATAAAATAAGTCTCAATACAGGGACAGAGGTTCCCGCTGTATAAAAACAGCATACAGGTTAGCTAGTTAATGGAATAAAAGTGCAGTAAATTAAACGCAAACATGAAAGAAACAGCAAATTAAATAAGAGAAAAACCCCCACTAAAAATCAAAGGAAAAAAAAAGATTATAACTACTGCTACAGTGACTTAAAATGAATAAAAAAGAATAAACTGTGATGAATAAATGAATCTAACTTCCTATATTAAAATGCAGGAGAAATACAACTTTATTTGCCAAGTTGTAGACATACCCATCAATCAAAGTCTTGGTCAGCTTTGATCGGCAGTTCCTGTCCTTGAACATTTTTATTCATTCATTTTCTTCCCAGATTATTAATACTTCAGAAGAGTGCTATAAATACATCCTAAAGTATATGCTTTATTGCATAAAAAGGCTTGTATTGTAATTCCACAATTTAATTTGGATTCTGTACTACTCTGTCTATCAGACAAAGCAACATGTTTTTTTTTTTCCTTTTGTGGTAAATGCCACGGAAAAGAACAAACCATACAGTTGTATCGACCTAAAAAGGCTGTTCAGTGCGTCGCTGCAAAACAAACTTCTAGAAAGACACTAACAACACAAGAGCAAAATGATAAATGTTTAAAATGACAAATCGAGAAGAAAATAAAGCAAAACAAAACAATATGAAAACTAAAGCAAAATAAGTATTTAGCTGGCAAGTGGATGTTGCTGTTTTTACGAGACTTTATATCTATCCATTTACATTTTATTTGCTACAATTGTGTAGCAGGAAACTATCTGAAAGTTTCAAAATATTCCCTTCACCTTTAGCAAGCCTCTGTCCCTTCTTAGAAGAAAAAAAAACAAACATCTAATTCAAATCACAGAAAACAAAATAAGACGTTCACGCAGCATAGTCATAGTTTTTTTGAAATGCATCATCAGGCTTACTCAGTACTGACAGTAGAGAAATATCTTTTATTCGTTATAGAACTCCTGCATCTCAGGAGATAAAAGAAAGACGTTTCGATAGTGCAAGGCTATAAGGTAAATATATTAATATATTGTTTTAGATAATGTCCTATAAGTAAAGTGCAAATCTCTGATCAGATGAAAGGTGTGCAAGCATTTGTAATGTTTGACTTGATTCCTCCAACTCGCTCCCATGCACAAATCCGCCCTCGACGGAAAACCAATGCATAACCTGGTGCAACATTCATGTAACAAATATGCTGTCTATTAAACCGAGTGAGTTTTGTTGTATTTATGCTTTTTTTTTTTTTTTTTTTTGTAATCTGGACTTTTCCTTAGACAAAAGTGTAAGTCTTAGCATCTGTATACGACATAACGATGGAGTTTTTTTAAATTTCAATTCTGTGGAGAAGATCAATGTTACAACAAACTCCAAACGTTTAGCTTACGAGTCATTATGGTAAACTAATTGTCCTCTTGAATC